CGACATTAATTTTCACGCATTTTTTAAAAACGTATAGAATAACCCGACATTAATTTTGTTAATAGGTTCGTTTGATAGCGAATTATTGATCTAACCTGTAATGTTAATTAAAAATCTAACAGTAATAATTTACAAAGCACTTTTTGAAAATCAAAAGCTACTTCATCGCTGCAACAAGTTACCACTGCGTGGATACCTTGTGAGAAGAAGCTGCAAGAATCTCATAAGCAGACTTTCTCCCAATAGTTACAATTGCATCTCATAAAATATATACACAAGCTCCCTATGTTCAGATAACACTATGTCCATGGTCCATGCATTATTATCGTTTAACAGTCATTTAATTTATACTATCCTTTCTTCGTAACAACGCGTTTTATATTATACACCTTAAATTATTACAGGAAATATTGTTATGAATAGTTTTACACATCCCACAACTCAAATATGAGCCGCCAGTTTTACGAAGCCTGTATTACCTAGTACTAGGCACAGCAAGTTTAGATCTCTACCCGCCTTATTACAAAATGTGGTATAATTATAGTATCAGGCTTACATATAACTTAAGAAGTCTGTTAGTCGCGGTACCAGTCTTCGTTAAATTTACTTTTGATGTCAAATTCTATACTTTACATTTTAGTTTGCGGCACTTCTTTAATGAAAACGATTCTAATTTAAACCTGAGACTAAATATAAACCAGTTTTATTTTTTAACAAGTCCACTAAGGTTAGACTTGTTCATAGACATGGTGATGAATATTTTAGACCATATTGAAATATTTTCAATTTTCTTCGGAACACACACATATTATTATTATTATTATTATTATGTATCGTTGTCAGTATAAAGTCTACTTCGGGACATGATGTGCAAGCATAATACATTGGGCTAATTTGCGGTAATGTTGATCTCGGTTCTCGGTACAAGATAAAGCAAAACAAAGAACGAATGTTGTTTATTTTCTATTTGTATGTTGTTTGTGATGAAATCATAATATAAATAATAATATTGTTTTATGAAGAATGCTACACATTTTTATTAATATACTAAACATTTAAAGTAAATGTTAAATGGGAGCCTACCTATATGTAATCTTTAGCAACTTATGATGTAACCTTCGAAAATATAATATAATACTTGTAATGGCAGTGGTAGGTAGTATTTTGTCCTGTATCATGGAGGCGGTTTACATAAATTGCACAAGGTCACGCCCTCCACAAATATGCAAACACTTGTTTAGTTTGGGATTGGAACCCACTTCCTTGCAGCACCAAAACCAAACACTTAGCCACTGCATTACTGAACCATATGTTACAAAATTTCCCATTATATATTAACGCGGAATTTATCGCGGTCGAGCTAATTGTTCCTATTAATAAACTATTTATAATCTGTGATAAAATAATTATTATGAATCGTTCACAGTAGACTAGTTGATTGCGTCACATGCTTTTTATATTACTTACAAATAACTTCAATTTATATTACTTACAAATAACTTACAAATAACTTCAATGGTATCGTTATGATTCAAGATTCAATGTCAAATACAGAAACGGTTAAACTAGATTTACGAACAATGAATGAGGTTTTTATGAGTTCGAATAAATCAATTAGGGGTAACTAACGTTAATCACTAAGCTATGCGGTCTGATATACGCATTATAATATAAAAATCAAACACATTTAATAAGAAAACTTTTATCTTTTTCTGCACAGCAGTGGTCAGTATTAAGCATTTTTATTTCATTGTCAATTTTGGTGCAAAATTAATTGTTATCACTATCACATTTTACAATGTAATCTATAGATATAATATGTTAATAGGTCAAGAGAAAATTTGGACCCCTTTTTAAGCAATATGTTTATGATTATACGCGCATGGAGTAGTGTGAGATTTAGCATAACTAAAGATTATATGAACAAGGTGTGCAGAAAGCTAAAATTTATATGTATATAATAAGTGTTAAAAATGCATTTAATTAAATTATATAAAGCACCAACTCTTTACGTTCATACTGCCAATGCTAAACACTTAATAGTGTGGTCAAACAGTCGCACAGAGTAGGCAAACGGCATCGGCAAACAATTTTAAAATGTTGCCCATAAATAATTTGTGATAGATTGAGTGAATGAGCCGTAAATTTTGTGTGATTTTAAATGTTCGTTTTTAAATAGACTCCACATTATCAAGGCAAATAAGCGTTTATTTTATATTTTCGATGTTAGATACCTATGTTTTATTTTATGTGCAGTTGAAACTTGAAAGTGAAATATAGTTTGCCTAATATACACCTGTTGCCAGTGGCGGATTATCCTCAAGGCAAACTAGGCAAGTGCCGAGGGCCTCAAGGTTAAAAAGGGGCGCGCGCGGAAGTTTTTAAACGAAAACAGTTCACCTATTTGATTACTCCTACATCACTCTCACATCACATTTTTCATTCACCGTCACCTGTTAAAGGTACTCGTGTCATAATTATTTTCAACTATTAAACTAGTATAAAATATAATATAGTTTATTTGCAAAATGAGTAGTTATAATTTATAATATACTCGCAACTGACGTAATAGAAGAAATTAAATATATATTATACAAAACAACCTCAATATGGTTCAAACTTAAAAAGTGCGTTAAATGAATTGCGTTCGAATTCCAATCACTGACCACTGGACGACCACTAGTAAATATATTGCGTACTACATTTTCTCCCCGAGTCGTGTCTCATAACAAGTGATCAGTTAGTGAACCGGTCTTCATGCAAAAAAGTGCGTTCCGTACCATGACAGCTTAAATAACTTAAAAAACAACACTATTTAAATTTCATATATTATGTATGTATGTCGTTTATCAATCTAGTTTTTCTAGCTACTGGACTGGAAAGGATACGGTACTAACATCAATGGCGAGTACATCACTCACCTTCGATTTACTGACGATAAAGTTTAGGACTTTATGGCAGAATCGCTGGAAGACCTAAGAACTATGCTCAATGACCTCAATAGTGCCTTCAAACGGATAGGTCTTATGATGAATATGGACAAAACAAAGATTATGTGTAACGTCCATGTCATACCTATGCCGGTAGTCGTTGGAAGCACTAAGCTCAAAATTGTTGACGAGTATGTTTACCTGGGACAAATAGTCCGTCTTGGTAAATCCAACTTCGAACGAGAGGTCAATCGACGGATTGAACTCGGCTGGGCAGTGTTCGGGAAATTACGACACATCTGGTTAGGTATTCCTTAAAACTAGATTGTACAACTAGTGCGTGTTGCCAATGATGGCTTATGGATCTGAGACGTGGTCCTTCATTGCTGGCCGTAAGAGGAAGCTCAAGATCGCTCAGCAAGCTATAGCAAATGCTGTGCTTAGGGTTTCTCAGCACGACAGACTTAAAAATGAGAATATCCGCCCGCAGTAGAATCAGAGTATCTATCAGATATAGCGGGCATACCCCTAGCATAGCCCTCTCCATAGTCGCTCAGCGAGCTATGGAGAGGGCTATGCTCGTGGTTTCTATGCGTGATAAACTTAGAAATGAGGAAATTCGTAAGCTGAATACCAGCGTGAAATAGCAGCTTAACACTGCTGTGTTTCCTATGGTGAGTGTAGAGAACCGGAGATCCTTTTTACTGGAAAAGAGTCATTCCATCTTAGTCCTCACGGGTGACAACGCATCTGCATTTTGATTCGCAAACGAGGATAAATGCAGATGTCTATGGGCCACAGCAACCACTTACCATCAGGTGGACTGTGTGCTTGTTTGCCACCCTATCCTATAAAAAAGCTGAAGTGACAATGTGCCGGCCTTATAGGCCGAAGAATCGACAAACAATGGGGAAAAAATGTTTTCGACTGGCAGCCTCGTACCGGTGGACGAAGGGCGACCCCCCAATAAATGGAGTGAAGACCTAGTAAGACATGCAGGAAGTCGATGGATGCAGGTAGCTCAGGACAGTGCTTTGTGCCGTTCCTTGGGGAAGGCCTATGTTCAGCAGTGGACTTGTGAAAGGCTGTAATGATGATGTATGTCGTTTATCTGGTCAGCCGTTATATTTTCCGCCATGCAAAGGTTTGTCGCATAAATACTATACCAGTTACTTCATCAATTGCAGTTTTAAGTTTGAATTGACTTCATGAGAAATTTACGTCAATACTTGCCTCTTTCCTATTTTAGTTTGTAGGTATCGCTATTGATGGTTATAAACAAATCGTAAAAGTCTAATATTACTTGGGTTTCTGCTTTTGTAATTCATTATATTGTGCAGTAGATAGTGTAAGATAAAACAAAAGAAGCAATATTTCAAATCGAATCAAATTTTAATTCCTTGTTCAATTTAACAGTAACAATTCAATAATATAAAAAACTAGCAATCCGCCCCGGCTTCACGCGGTTGATTTCTGGATCTTGACAACAGCGCCACCCTCCGGGTCTAATTTTAAATCTAAACCATTAAGGAACCTACTCAAACACAATAAATTTCATCAAAATCGGTTCAGTCATTTTCGGGTTTTTGCGAGATTAACTGACAGCAATTGATTTTATATGTATATAGTTAAAGTTACAGCCTATATACGTTCCACTGCTGGGTACGGGCCTCCTCTCATTTCTGAGAGGGTTTTAGGGCAAGGAAGCGTCCGCCGCACTGCCCCAATGCGTGTTGGCGAACTTCACATGTCTTTGAAATATTTTATTTTCTTATTTTTAGACATGTCGGTTTCTTCACGATGTTTTCCTTCACCGCCGAGCACGTGGTAAATCAGCACTTAAAACTGCAATTGACAAATTTCATTGGTGCTGGCGGGGATCGTGATCGTTTGTGGCATTCCTTGGGGGAGGCCTATGTTCAGCAGTGGACTTGTGAAGGGATGTAATGATGATGATGATGATGGCGGGGATCGAACTACCACGGCTCATATATGCTATATGTATCTAGATATAATTTATTGCCCTATTAGATTTTATATGCATAAACAACATCTAATACTTTTCCACAGTTCTCAGTGTTTTTGCTGATCATCTTCGTAGCAGAGCTTGCGGTTGGTATCGCGGGCTATGTGAAGCACCAGGATTTGGAGACCTCCATAGAGCGCCACCTCAACGCGACCATCAAGAACTACCCCACTAGCAAAGATGTACGGGACACTTTCGACATCCTTCAGACTGATGTGAGTGTTTATATTTTATCTGTTTTAGCAAGCCAGTTCACAAATTGCCATTCTACCATTAACCTACCCGGTAATTGCACTGGCGGTCTCGTTGGTCTAGTAGTTGTGGAACGCTACTGCTGGTCATGAGGGCCCGGGTCGGGCTATAAATAAATCAAGTTATTGAGTTTTTCCGTCAAGAAATTCTCAGTAGCTGCCTGGAGTCGGGAAGTTGGCGGTGTCACAGTCCCGTGCCTCGGAAAGCTTTGCAAGCATGTAAAGCCGTTGCTCCTGCGCCTGATCTCTCTCCGGTCGTGTCGGTTTACCATCCCATCGGACTATGAGAGTGAGGGAATAGAGAGTGCACCTGTGCTTGCGCTTACACTTGGGCGCTATAATGTCCTGCGCCGATGGCTAGTCTCCGTTGAGGCTGGCCGCCGTAACTGAAATTTTATCTGGAGGACATTATAATTAATAATTGCTAACGGAAAAACCAATTTAATGAAGCTATGTCTAAATTAATTTAAAGAACTGACAAGTTTTGTTTATTTTATATTATTTAAGCTTATCAGTCTTTTGCTTTTGAATTTAGATTGAATTTATTTAATTTTTAAAACAATCGTTCCAATGCTTAAAGTTTTAGCAGCAGAATATAGACATCGGATTTTCTGTAATTCACTGAAGATTGATAATATTATTCTTAATTTTGTCAGCGGACATTTATTGTGTTGAGAGTTAAGCCAACGCGCGACCAATATAAATGTTTATTTTTAAACTCTGAACTAACTGAAAACCACTTTTAGAGTTATCACGTAGTAATAGTTTCAAAATCAATAACTATTTTTTTTAAATGTTATGTCATAAACACCGTGAGTACGACGCATTCGGTCGCATGAGGTCTGCCACTTCCAGTTGCATTTTCTCTATGATTATTTATAACTTTTTTTACTTATTATAAAACAGTTCTCGACCACAATCCCACCTAGTGGTGAGTGGTGATGAAGCCCTAGGTGGTAAATCGCACTGTCTATGTTACTTAGTTTGGCGAGCAACGCTCGAAACAAATCTGTATCATATTATTAACAACTATTCTATTTGTACTTATTAACTTGTACATTTTAATATACGATACGCCAAAAAATTTACTAAATTCTGAATAATTTAAGTTTAATATGTAAGTGAATTTTTCATTCTTATGAGAAGAATAAATTATCTCAAACCTCAATAGCTATTACGCCCCCACCAAACGACAACTGACTGTAATATTACCATTTAGAGCATATAAAACTCCATTGCAGAACACAGAACTCCCCGATAAATTGCTTCAATGGGAGATTTTGCCATAGTTGCCACGTTTTGCAGGCGGATTGGTAACCGCAGTTTTTTGTAATTTTCAGTTGTTATCAGGAATATACAGCTGCCCATCTCCTGTTTCAGTTTCCCTCTGTCGTCTCTTACGACACCCACGGGACAATATGGGGTAATGGATATTCTTACATCGCCACTACACTGTGTAATATGTAGCGCATTAAACTATAAAAAATAACAGCAAAGCGTTGAATTCAACAGTTGCAATGCTGCGGCATTTACGGCCCAGGAGACTGGAAGAACAACTCAATACCGATCCCGGACACGTGTTGCGCCGGCCAGGAGATCAAGAACGGCTTGACAGTGCCCTGCACCCCGGACTCGCCCGGCTTCCACACGGCGGGCTGCCTCGGCAAGCTGGTGCCGTTCTTCAACGATATGGCCGTGTTGCTCGGCGGAGTTGGACTCGGAATAGCTATGGTGCAGGTGAGCAGGTTATTTACGTCGTAGAGCCGCGCTGCAACTACATTATGGCTGCAGCACGAATGGTTCAGCTCGACCGGGGCAAGACCACATGGTCACAGAATATCAGCACAAAACAGCAGTGTAATGATGTGTGTTCGTATGGTGAGTGTAGAAAACCGAAGACTATTTTACTGGTAGTGAGGCATTCCATCTAAATCCTCGCGGGTGATAACACATCTGCAGTTTGATTATTAACTGATGATAGGTGTAGATGTCGTCTATGGGCTACAATATCTATATTTTCGGTCATGTTCAATCAATTTTTCATTGTTCATTATCTGCAAACATTGTTGCATGTCAACAATGTTGCAACAAAATAATCTTTTGTTTACGTATCACAAGTTTCTGTCCAAACTGAGCTTCGGTGAAATAAAAAGAACGTGTGGTGGTGGTCCCTCCCTAAACATTCGTCGCTCACTGTCCGTACGCAGCACTAGTGTTCATATTACAACGGGACGTGGAGAGGACGGGGCGGGACCGTGGTATAGACGAGCGTCGTCCGCGCCCGGACGGGACATGGATCATGCACTGTTATAATATAAACTGCTTCATAAAAATTGTATGTAATGTTTCAAATCCGAGCCACGTACACAGTACTTCCCGGTCTAATATAATTCATCCCTTATTTACGTTGACACTTCGCTCTTTATGTGTTTGCTGCAACAATCACAAAAAAAGCTATTTGAAAAATTAAACGAAAACTAGGTCACATTGGCTATTTTCCCAAACGATATCACTACCACGTGAAGTAACTGCCATGTCAAAAAAATTAGTTCAACGACGTATGCTCAAAGTACAATATTGTCAGTTTTTTATTATGGCAGGGAAACTGGGTCAGTTGCATTGGCTTTTACTTGACTTACCCTGGACCACTCAAGAGCCCTTTGTTACTGTACTAACCAATCTTAAATTGACTTCTATCCTAGTACCATTTCTGTTATGCTGTAATTACTGGATGGAATAATTTTAATTAGGTAGATGATAAACTTACATATAAAGGCCGTTCCAATCAATACTTCAGATTAGATGGTTTAACATGATTTTAGGCACACCTATCAATAAGGCAATTTTACAATCTTACTGGGAAGGAGAGAAGGTTAAAAAATATAACTGATGAAAACCAGTTCCAAGTTATGCTTCTTCATTGAGATTTTATTGAAGGTTGCAATTTTTGGTAACCTAACTTATTTCGTTCTTGTACTAGTCAAATAAGAGTGGCTCACAGTTTCCATTTAGTTTTCTTCTTTTCTAGTGTCACAATCCTTTAATTCTTGGTACCTTACCAATATTTTGGAGTCCTTTAGCTTAAAGCGTAATATGTTATTGATGGGGACTGATCAATAACATATTACGCTTTTTAGAAATTATATGTAACAGTGGTAGAGTCACGCGGCAGCTTTTGCTGTCGCACGAATGGGCCAGCTCGAACCGGGGTAGTACCACGACCTCACAGAAGACCAGCGTGAAGTAGAGGTTTACCTCTGCGTTTCGCTTGGTGAGTGCAGGTGGCCGGAGGCCCTTTTTACTGGAAATGAGGCATTCCATCTTAGTCCTCACGGGTGACAACGCATCTACATTTTGATTTGTAACAGAGGATAGATGTAGATGTCTATGGGCCGCAGCAACCACTTACCATCAGGGGGACTGTGTGCTCGTTTGTCACCCTATCCTATAAAAAAAAGATGTGAACTTATGAATAAATGCTTAACCGATTCGTTGCGGCACCGATTTTCGACAACTTTTAGCTGTGGCGGCGAACAAATATTTTGTGACACGCCTGGCGTGAACACACACGCCACAGAAGTTGATGACACGCCTATTGTGCCATCAGCCATGTGAAAAAATAATTCTGTTTTATGCTTTTTTCACTTGTTTAGGCCTAATTAAGTTTAGTTGACATTAAATATCAGTTACAAACGGAAGGATACTTGTTTTTAGTGGGTAACTACGTGTGTTTTCTTTGAGATTGACTGACTTTTTTTATGCAGAAATTACAAACCTTTTGTAGTATTTTTTTGTTAAAAAAAAATCATTTATATAAGTAGGTACAGCTAAATCACCCTGGAAAATCTTTCTTTCATAAAATTAAATTTTCACCTAATAATAAAATTTGTAAATATCAAACAATCCAGAACCTTAAATTGGAAAAAAAAAGGTTTATGATTCATTAATATTTACAAATGTTAAATATCATTTAATGTTATACAAATGTAAAAGTAAAGTCGATCTGAAAACGTCTAATTAGTAAGAATAGCAAAACAAGTGTTTTCAAACGGAAAAAAACACCGGCGGATTGACAAAAGACTATATTGTTTCAAGCAAAAATAAACCTTATACCATATCACAAGAGCACATGGTACTTCGTAGGTCTATTCGGCCATATGATAGTAATAAGACGGCAGTTCAACCATTTTAAGCAAAATTAAACAAGACAAACGCATTGTTTTTTTAACAGGAGACTTGTTTTCCAGAAATGTATTTACCTACAACTTGAGTTTGTGAGCGATCGCAATAAGTGCTATTATTTGTTACTTATTTTTCCACAACATGATTTAAAACCCACAAAGTAAAAAGAGTACCATGTACAAGTAAAAAAAAGGTTGTCAATCCCAAAATTTCAAATTTTCAAAATATCCGAAATCGAATGTAAGCATGAACTACTTGCAAAATAATGAATATTTTGTTCGGGATAAATCTTCCAAAAACGCAATTTGAGCGAGTTATAACGATTTTTAAAAGACACGACTCGCGTGTCAAACGCAAAATAATCTATGGCACGCCTGGCGTACCATCCGCACTGAACCGGTAAACTAATTTTTTCTTCATTTTTCAGCTTCTTGGAGTTATTTTCGCCTGCTGCCTCGCTCGTTCTATTCGGAACCAATATGAAACTGTATAAGATGACAAACATCTACTCAAATCTCAAGCTTGTAGGCATAACCATTTCTTTCGATTTTCAAGTCTCTATTTATATTGTGATTTAAGTATAAGTGTCTGCATATGTATAAGTTATGTTGTTATTACAGATTATTTTGTTATAATATTTTTTTATATTTTATTACATCAATATGAGAACTTTTTTGTTAGTTTCCTCATGATTACCAGAATAAAAAATTATAGATTTTAATGATTATATTTTATAGAAAACAGATTCCATGTGAACAGGTACATGATCAAAAGGTCTTTTAGTTTTAGTAACCTAAATAATCAAAATAGTTAAGGATTCATAATACTGTATATACTGTATTTTTCGTATGTGGTTTAAGACAGATTTTTTGTCCAATTTTAAACTTTCTTTGTTCCATAGTTTAACATTAAATCTCAATTATAGATTGAAGTGTGCTCACTGTAAAGAGAAGACTGATTTTTTAATAAAATTTCATAAATTGCCCAACTTAATGACATCAAACATTTATGATTTATTTCATATTGATACCTTTTTATTATAGTTGTAAAATGTATTCGAATCAATGTAGTAAATTGTAGTGTGGTGCACATTTTCTGTATTAAAATGTATATTTTGAGATTGTATCTTTCATTAGGAAAAAATGAATATTATAATATTGTGTCAAACAAAAACACTAGCATTTTAGTGTTTCAAAGAATGGATATTGATAATAAAATGTGTATTAACATTCATTGTTTTTTTTTTATTTGTAAGGTTGAATATAATGAAACAGCAATTAGTGTCCTAGTTACACGCATTTTTATTTCCCTATCTTACCATAATATAAATTTTAACAAAAGATTGTTAGGGTCAAGAGTTTACGAACGAATATCGAGTTTAAGGAACATCAGTCATGTCGATTACAGCAGTTGTCTTGCAAGCAACACTATTTATAGTAAAAAATAATTAAAAAATCACATTGACAAAATATATCCCAGTCGTGAATACTGGTCGCAGTATTCAATCTTTTCTATAAGTATGTCACAAGCATTTGAATCTCACAGCACCAGTTTCACTAACAAAATCACCACCCTTCTTTTTCCACAATGCTATCACCAAAACATACGCGCGACATACACTTTACTAAAAATATTACACAACTAGATTTCTATAATTCAGTATTTAGGGATAAGACATACATTATACATTACCTAGACAATAACTTACACCTAGTAACTGTTAACATTCTAAACGGAATATTTTAATAAGACAAGTTATAAGAGTTGGGTCGAAACGGAGGCAGTGCCTTAGATTTGGCACGTATTTAGGTGCATTCATCCATCCTAGTTCTGAGTACCCAATATATGCAAAAATGTGCTTTGATATGTTATTTATATAAAATAAAAGTGGAAATAACATAATATGTACACGTCATTGCATTTCATACCGCCGTCAAGTTATCGAGATCCAAAAATATAGATATAAAACAATGGTAAATTCACAATACTAAGTGTAAAATAAATATCCTGTTACAAAGAGCACTCAAGTAAATGTGTTTTAAGTTTCAATACAGTTCATTTTTCTTTGTCTATAGCAATTATTGTTCCTATTCTAGCTCTTAAAACCTGTTTATATTCGGTACAGTACTTCATTACAGTATTATTACTTGTTTAACACATTTTCAAATTGAAAATTACTATATAAAAATTATGATTATTCTTTGTATGTCGCTAAATTATACGAATGATGACATGAAAAGGCTCGTTGAAACAAAATTTTGTTCACTGATAAGCAAGTAAAATACAATCTGCTATTCTGTAAAGGGCATCTGTCGAGTAGCAAAGGTTAATCTAGGTAATGTAACTAACGAATATAATGAAAATTACAACTCCTTTTGGACTAGGATGACCCTTTGTTAGAATAAGTGTCAGGATTTATAGAAAGAGGAATTTCATTTCGACTATATCTTTTACCATTTTACTAAAGAAATATAATCAAAATTTTCATGCGAGGTTTTTCAACAACCTTGTAAAGCAATGAAAATACAACATAAAAAAAAAATTAAAAAAACTAAGGAATTGTATAATTGAAATTACTTTTGCTATTTACATCGAAAGTAGACAAATGATTGCCTGGATGATATGCCACCAAGGAAAACATTAGTGACAAAGTTAGAAGAAAACTATTTTTTGTCATTAGGAATATCAAATTTACAACCGAAATTTCCCGTTCATACACTAACAAGTCGCCAAGTGATAAAAAACCTTTAATCAAAAAAACATTTTAATAAACATCACTATTTATTTAATGTTTTCAGTATACCACAATAGTTTGACAATTACTTATGTTCAGAGTGTTTGAGATCAACGCACAATTGCAGCAAAAAATTGACTCAATTCACTGATTACATTCTACAATACACATTCATTAGTAAACTTATCACATTAATATAATACAGGGCTACAAACATTAACATAAAATCGTCCAATTTATAACTAAAAAAATTGTTACCTAAAAATTATACAGTTCAGACCATATTAAAAGCATGGTTAAATCACATTATTTGCAACTAAATATTGTAAGTCTTACACATAATACACTTCATGACTTATTCAGTTTACACAGAACTAAAGCAGTCCAAGATCATGGAGCAACTGAATAACTCACAAATGTTGCATAGTGACAGTTTGATATTATGTTAAGCCTATATTTATGTGAACAGGATGGATTGAGAACAGAATAATTTTGAGTAGATATTTGTTGTTCCGGGGTGGCCAATACATAGTAGCGCAATCATGTTGCATAGCGTTTGGTCCAGAGACGGGCGATGCGATCATGCTCTTCTCTGTTCTGAAGATACTGTGTTGCAATGCTGCCAACCAGTGGATCCGCTGAAACATTTTTATTTTTAGTGCTTGACAATCAATGACTTCTTAGAATGAATTCTGGCAATATCATGTCAGTTATGGGAATGCTAAACACACTTAAGACAGTGCAATTCTATCTAGGCATTCATAACCACTCACCACCAGGTAGGATTGTATTCTATTATAAGTAAAAAAATTAAAATGTGTAGCATTTGCATAAAGACATGTAATCAATCTCATAACAGTCACAAATATGATATCTAATAATAATGTCCTCGAGGCCAAATTACAGTCACAGCAGCCAATCTCAATTGAGACTAGCCATTTTTGAAAGACAGGATTATAATGCACAAATGTATGTGTAAGTGCAGGAACACTATTCCCTCACTCACATAGTCCGACAGGACAACAATCTGACTGATGTGAGAGAGATCAGGCACAGGACCAATGGTTTTCCACACTTTCCGAGGTGCCTAATCTGGGGATTCGAACCTGGAACCACATAATCTACAGTTGTGCTTACAACCACTAGATCAAATCAAATCTACATATTTATGTAAAAATAGCAATAAATATATTGCCATAGTTCACATCACCATCAGACTGGCAGTCCACTTCAGAACATAGTCACTTATCACTCAAGGCACATCACTCTGTCTCATATTTAGCTTTAATGTCTTGTGAAGGTTGTCACCTATCTAACCATAGGGCATCCCACAATATGTTTTTTTTTTTTAATATAAAACTGTAATCTCAAGCAAACGTACCATCCACCTGATGGTAAGTGGCTACTGCCTGCCATGCCCTGTCCATGCACACCTGCAACCAACTTTATACAAAGAAGGCTACAGATGCATTGGCATCCCTGAGAGTTAAGATGAAATGCCTTGTAATCATACTGGCTCTATATACCCTGCAGACCGGTACACTGCACTGCAAGCACTGCTATTTGGCGGCAAAAATAGGTAAGAAAGAGGGCTAAACGGAAGAAAAGGAGTGCTACCACCAAGGTCTTCATGCGGTAGACAGTCTGTCTACTTTAACAATTGTTGCATCTGCAACAGACGTGATCAGTCCATCTATTTGCAATCATAGAGTACAATTATAGGCTACATAAGTGACCCTGATGCTCTCCACCAGAGAAACTTCAAGCATAACTGACAGACTGAGCTAGATAATAAATGTACTGTTATTAGTTTCCAAGTTTTGGCACCATATGAGACACCACCACTATACTGGTGGACACATGATGGATGGTTGAAATCTTTCATCTAATAGCTTTGCAGTATGGGCGACGAAAAAACGCAAGCCGATAAAATGCTGTCTAATCTAACTGAATTATTGTGAAATATAGCAAACAATTGGCTTCTCCCCTAAAGTTGTTCCTACTTTACAACATTAATGCAAAAGGTAGATATTTACTTTGGAACAACTTTTTGACACAAGAAGATTGTAACAAGTAATTGGATCTGGGCAAAAATTATATAATCTTTAAACATTTATGTTTCAATGAAGCCTAACCAAATCCACAAAAGCATCACAGGCTGTTTATACTCTGCCACCTCCTCTTATATCTGACCAAAATTGATGATGTATCTGTGAGAGAAGATTCGTGGAGACCCTTGAACACAACTGACAGATAAGGCTCATAAGTGAGGTAGGTGTTTTTTTGATCAATGTTTTCCCAAACAATTAAATAAGACATATCTTTATGATATATATAGTATTCAACAGACAGAAAAGCAAACCAGTGGTGGTCATCAAAACATCTTCATTACTATTGAGATTTTAAAAAAGTACCCAGAAAAGCAAATGAGGAGCAGTGCTGAAGGAAAGATAATACCAGCATATGAATGATAACTTTGAAACACATTAGTTTGTAATTTAGGATTGTAGCTATATTAGCTAGCTAGCTACTATATATAGCTTAGCTATATATAGTATACGAAGCTTAGACAATGAAATAAAATTTAAAACCTTTGCATGTTGTCAGAAATGACTTATTCAACAAAGATGTGGGAAACATTAATTTCACTACTGTTTGGGAAAGCTCAAAGTTGTTTAGCAAGCTAGGGAGAAAGCTATTGCTACTCGGACAAGTACATGGCAGAATCTTAAATGAAGGTATCCACTGTAGATCATAGAAATCAACATAGAGCAAGAGATCAATAAGCTTAGATGAATAATTAAGAGGCAATGGAACTACTATAAAATTTAAACAATTGATGCAAAACAAATGTTCTTAGGTAACAGGTGCATATTGTACCGAGACATACAGTATAGTGCGGCAACACAGCCTTATATCATACTAGCACATGTAGTGTGGTGCGGCTCCCCATAAGATGGAGTAACAACCCAGTAAGACATGAAAGTAGTCTATAACCATTCTTAACCTAAGAATTATAAATTACATTAAGCTATACTTTATATTATGATAATATTTTGTCATCAAGAACTCACCTGGATTACAATCAGTTAGTAGGGAGCATATTGACAACAGAACCTTGGATATTGTGAGTGCTGGAGACCAGTTGTCTTTGAGTATGTCCAAGCATATTACACCCTGGCTGTTGATGTTACAGTGGTATATCCTAGTACGAAATGTCACCTGAAATTTTATACTGAACCTTATTGGAATTGCAAAATATTTGTTAATATTTGAAAATTCGTCAAAGTAAAAATGTGCATTTGGGCAAGAATATGTTAGTTTGAATAGTGTATTTATTGATATAAAAGTACACTGAAAGAAATAATATTATACTGAAGAATTAAATAATTAATTTCAAAACACAAAAAACCTTGTTTAATTTCTTTTATAATAAAAAGCTCAAAAAAATTAAAGAACTAAAAAGAATAAAATAATTTCCAGATAATGCTTCTGAAGTCAGTGTCTTAGCAGTGCATAGAAGAATTAAAATCCAGACTTAAGAAGCTGGTTTGTGAAAATTACTTTGTTCTTTTTAGTTTTTGAATTTTTGACCATTTTGAGTGGACTAAAAAATATCACAAGCTCAAGGAAACAAGTAGTATGTTGTCTAAATAGTTATATTAAAAACTTCATCCCCCATTTTTCCATCCTTAGAAGTGGAATTTTATCCAATTCGTATGGAATCACCCCTAAAGTATAACCTATTTAATAAAAAAATAATCATGAAGATTGGTTTATAATTTGCAGACATTGCAAAACATACACTCACAAAAACAAAACAAGACTTGAAACCCTCCTTTGAAATGGTGGGCTGTTTTCCGCAACTCTACATCTAAGAGCATATTTTGCATGACACCCTCCTTCATTATAAAGTTGGCTAAATATAATAAGATTTAGCAATAACTGTAACAAGCTTAATTTGATATAATGAAACCCTTTCCTAAGCAAATAAGAAATACTGGTGTTATATATTCAAATTTCAGACTGAGTTTCTCTTTGCAATAAGTTTGATCTATTACTTTAACATTAAATAAAATAAATAAAAAATAAAGCCACCAATAGAATGCATAATAAAATACCAAGAAATTAACCATTAATAAAATGTCATAGCACAACAGTATCAAGGTACTCATGTAGACTAACAATTTTTTTGTTTCTTTGTGATAGTAATATCAATATCAATAATTTTGCACATCTTTGGTCTTTGTTCCAACATAACATCTTGTCATGTAGCATCAATGTAACTAATATAAAATTAAACTAAACAGAGTTTGCACAACACAACTTAGCAAAAACAACAAGTTATGGGATGGAATAGCCTGGACAGGAATTAGAAAATTCGGTTCCTACTAAAGTTTATAAAAATAATGATTACAGTTAATCATAAATGAATAAATTTCATTTTAATCCAATAACCTATTGAAGAAACTAATGGCAACTGATATAAGCACAAAAAATATTTGTTTTTAACACTATTTAACAGTAATCATAATAAAATAAGCATATTAATAATACTCTTGTCTCTCAATTATATGCAACTTTAAAGCTTACTTGTCATAGAATTCAAAGCGTTCTTGAAAATATCTATATCAAACTGTGGATTTATAAAGACTAATTTATTTTTTTATAAAACTGAAGTAACAACAGAGTCACAGACCACCTGATGATAAGTGACTCCTGCAGTCCATAGACGCAGCCAAATTCAAACAATGGAGACTATAGATGAGTTGTCACCTCTGAGAAATAAGATAGAATGCCCCATAGCCTGTATACTGACTCTCTATACCCTTCACAGTAGAACACAGCAGTGCAAGCACTACTATTTGGCATCAGGTAATTATGATACCAAGATATGACTCTTAAAACAGAAAAAGTCTTACCACATAGTATATGTAATATAATGAATTATCAATACAAAACACTTATTGAAATAACTTTGTAAGTTTGTTTGTAGTCAGTTCAGCCTTTTTAAAGTAAATTATTAAGTGCAATTGTTAGTGCTTATATATTAGTGTGAATTTTACCTTAGGTGGTTTAAAGGGGTATTCTGGTGAAAAATGTATATCAAGGAAGAAAACTCCACCCTCATATACTGATCCAGGCGGTCCAAGAATAGTAGAAACCCATTCATACAGATTATCTCCTTTTGGTCCAGCACTGCAGTTTGGTGGTGGATCGAGTGTAATCTCAGCTAACTCCTTTTGAATCCTCTTAGCTGAAGTGCCAAGTGCTTTCGACATCTTGGGATTTGGTTTGTTTTCTTTTGATTCTGGTTTGGAGTCTGAGACTGCTATACTAGGGCTTGCACCACCACGTCCTCGTCCTGTGCCACTTCCTGATGAACCAGATGAACTTGACATTATCTAAAAGAACCAAATAATCCATGCAAAAAACATAAAAAGCAACTTGTTAAAAACTTGACAAGCTGAACATCGGTTGTCAATGAAATAACAAAAAAATTATCAGAATTATGTTTGCTATTGTATTGATATTGATCTAAGTATGCATATATAATTGTTTAAAATTACTTGAATAAAAGAGAGTACAGTAAGACAAGTTAAAATCAAGCAAAAAGATTTAAGAAGTATATTTGAGTTTTTAATGAATAAGCACTAATTAAATTTTAGAAGACATGCAATTTTATATAAAATTACTAGAACAAAGGCATTCATACAAAATACACAAAAAGGTGTTAAGAAGCAATAATGAAATAAATATAGATATAATTGAGAGAAACATACACAAATTATTACATGAAAAATCTACTTTGTTTGAAAATGCAAAGGGAAAAAGATTATTTTGTACCTTACGAATAACAGTCGGCCATCTTGTGGGCTGGCGTTATCCGATAATATACAATAATTTGCCTCACCAAGCACCCAAAATAATAAATTAATGTCTCCAAGTACACAATAAATGTGATAGTCAGAAATACTACACAAAGTAGTACAAATTCTCGGTTATTCTTTGAATAAGTTGCTCCAAGTTAAGATGCACCGCACTGCAAAGTGCAAACAAGCAGCCTGTTACTTTCCCACGAGTTGACACAAAATTTAAATATATAGTATGATAAAAATAGTATACCTTGTAAAAATTCTAAACTTTCTTTGAGATTTCAGAATATCAATCAATGTCTCAATCCACTTTTACCATATTTCGTCCATTTGTACATCACCTTCACCAACACAACAGGCACTGAAATTCAACAATACACACTACTTTAAATATATAAACAACAATCATAATAATAGTATTATTCTATTATCAGTACTTACAGAAAATATATTAAATAAATTATGCTAGTTTCATGGAAAATTAACTGGACTATGGATTTTTACAAATTCACGCTGAACTTACACTTTCCGACATGTTTATAAAAAAAACCGGTATGTGTTGCCATTCAAATTCATTGGTATAAAATTAAAGAAAATATAATGTGGGTGAATAGTGTGGTGGTCGTGGGTTGTCTATTAAAGAACATATAATCACCAAGTTTTACTTTGCTCAAGGTTTTTTTAATATGAATATGATTATTAATGAATAACTACAAGTTATATGCAGTTTGGAAGGGGTTGGAGTGGTGGTGGTTATGCATTATTATCCGTATATTATTATGCACTGTTAACCGTGTAGTAGCGGTCTAAGAATATCCAATACCCCCATATAGAGTAGCTTCATAAGCAACAATTTTTATTTAATGTTGAAAACGGGGTTCCGTGCATCTGCTGTCGCACGGGCGTGGCGACGCTTATTACTATTAAAACTTCGTGCTGATTCCTGTAATGAAATTCTAAAAATAACGTATAAAGTATATGGTAATGACTTTTTATAAAGCCGATTATCGGGTCAATTTCTAATAATATATATAAGTTCTATACAAGAATTTTCTTTTCAAATTCTATATAAGCAACTGATTGTAGAACTTGTGCGTTTACCGTATGAAACATCTTGTATTTTTTTCGCCAACGAAATAATCGGTTACCGACTGTCTGACATGGATTGTCGGAAGTTACACACGTTTTACGTTTTTGTGACATCAAGTAAATTACCAGAATACCACGTCTTAATTTCACTCCAAAAATTACGCTCATGCGGAGTTGGGCGAGTTTGTATCCGCGGGGCCCCTTTTTGCGTGGGGCCGTAGCAATTGCTACTCTTGCTACGTGATTAATCCTGCTCTGGAGAGGGCTATGCTCGGATTTCTATATAATTCCTGTATACTTAAAAGATAAACTTAGAAATGAGGATATCTGCAGTAAAACCAGAGTGACTGACATAGCCCAATGGATTAGTAAGCTGAAGTGGAAATGGGCCGGCCATATAGCTCGAAAAACCGACAAACGATGGGGGAAAAAAGGTTCTCGAGTGGCGGCCTCGTACCGGCGGACGAAGTGTAGGGCGTCCCGCCACTAGATGGATTGACGACCTGGTAAGACAGATAGGAAGTCGATGGATGCAGGTGACTCAGGACCGTGCTTTGTGACATTCCTCCGGGGAGGCCTATGTTCAGCAGTGGACTTGTGAAGGGCTGTAATGATGATGATAGAAAATAAAACAGAAAATTTGTTTTATTCAATATATGTAGATTATAAATAATACTTATTGAAAGTCACTCTTTTGCTTAATTACCACTGGTTCGAAATTAAACCTCTGTCCTGGGAAGAACCCAGCGCGACTTTTTTCTTAAATAACTGCTTACAATCATGTATCTTATACTATACAAAATAAAATTAGATATAGCTTGGTAGCGATTACCTCATTCCCAGTGGTAATTATCATCCATAAATTCCTTATTATTATAATAACCCTTTTTATACAAACTTTGTTTAACAAAGTTTTTGAACTTTAAGCAGGTCAAATTTTGTATACATTCGGGGATTTTGTTGTGAAAGCGTATACATCGCCCTAAAAATGAATTAGTGACTTGGTGGAGTCGAGTAACTGGTACTACTTGCTTGTGTCTGTTCCTTGTATTTGCAGAATTAATATCACTTATTTTTGTGTACGTACATTATATTTTCATAAATCTAATGAGAGGCCAAAGTTAATATATTAATTTGCCTTAATTTTTGTCGGAGCGACTCTTTTGGTTTTAAATCATAGATTGCTCTTATGGCCCTCTTCTGTAAAACAAATATAATTTCAGTGTCAGTCGCGTGTCCCCATAGCAAAATACCATACGACATAATGCTATGGGAATAGTTAAAAGTAATCAAGTCTAGCTGTTTCCACACTGGTAAGATTTCTAATCATTTTTACCGCATATGCTGCAGAACTAAGTCTGCTTGCTAATTTCATATATGGGGGATCCATTGAAGCTTCGCGTCTAGTGTTATTCCAAGAAAAATGGTAATATCGACAAGACTCAGTTCCTCCCCATTTAAGACTACATTAGTATTTAATTGTTTGACATTTGGACTCATAAATTTTATACATTTCTTTTTAGTGCCATTTAAAAACAAATTATTAACATTTAATCAATTTACTAATTTAGATATAGCATTATTTACTTCGTCATATTTTAATAACTGTCGTTTTAATCGATGATATAAATAATGATATACCTTCAATGCATTTTTTTAAATACGAGTAAATAAGGCTTCTTCTACTTTTATTTGAAATTATCCCAAATTGAATGTGACTTTGCGCTAGTTAAAGGAGTTTCCCTCAACCTCAGGGCAAACGAGACTCTAGGCGATCTAGGATCCGACCACCGTCCGGTCTCCCTCATTCTTGGCCATCATCCACCTCCCTCAACCCCCTCAACGAATACTTTCACTAACTGGAAGGGCTTCAAGGAGTCCCTTGCCAAAGCTATGGACTCACAGGATTCCCCCATCTCCCTTCGACAGGACCGAAAAAATCGACACCGCGGTCGATTCTCTCTCCGCCCTTATAAAATGCTCCCTTAAGGAGAATGAAAGGGTCGTCCCGGTTGCTAATAATGATGGTTTTCTCCTACATATTAGCAACCTAATGAAAGCCAAGAGAGCTGCTTTCCAGAAAGCAGCAATCTATCCCACACCCGACTATAGGCGTACGGCCAATCGTCTTCAATGAGAAGTCCGTTCTCACCTCACCGAACTTCGAGACCTCGAAAAAAGTAATCTCATGGAGAATATCTCTCCCTCTCATACAGCGTACTATCAGATGGCGAGAGCCCTCCGAATAAACGCTATCACCCACACTCCCCCTCTCTCCCGTCCCGACGGTACTGTTGCCTTCAAGGACGAGGAAAAGGCTGAGTGCTTTGCAGACTGCATTGCCGCACAATGCTCTCCTAGCTGTCAACCCAATGACCCCTCCCACATCCAGAAAGTGGAGGATGACGTCCGCCGCCCGAACTCGTCCCCCACAGCCTCTGACCCTATCACTGTGTCCAATGATGAGATCTCATCCCTCATCAAAGTACTGAAGCCCAATAAGGCTCCGGGCGCGGATGGCATCTCCAACCAAGCCCTTAAACATTTTCCTGAGCAGGTGTTAACCCTTTTAGCTATTATCTGCAACTGCTTTTTTTTACGGGGGGAAATCCTCATGGAATACCTCCGTCTGGGGAAAGGCGGAGGGGCGTGCCGGACTCTTACCGGCTAAAACCACCCCGGTGTCTCCTCGCACGTGCGCGTGGGGCCACGGGAATCCAAATTCTTCCGCAGCCCCACACTAGTGCTAGCCCGGTCTGTACGGGCCTCATCTCCTGCACGGGGTAGTGAGGTGTTTAACTACCCCGTGTATCGCCTCAGGGCCGCGCGCCGACACCCGCGCGCGCCTCCGCCTCGGGTCCATCGAATAGGGGTGGCGGGGGCTTCCCCGAGTCCCTCGCCCCTGGACGCATTCATGGGGGCCGGAAAAGGGCATTGTCCGCCCTTCTCCTGCGCCCGATGCGCCTTCTGCGGCCAGGAAAGGGAGTCGAGATCTTCCTTTCCCGTTCCGCAGTTTGGAGGACGCTGCGAGGACGTGATGTCTCAGAAGGACACCACTGCGTCCCACGACTCTGCGCTACCGACCATCATCCGCGCTAAGGCCGGCAGCGACAGATCGCCTCCTACTTTATTTGTGAGGACACGGCGCTGCTCCTCCCAAGCTACACACTCCGCGAGCGTGTGTTGCACCATGTCCTCCCCGCAATGGACGCAGTGGTGGCACCGAGCGTCCGGCTCCTTGTCTATGCGGCACAAGTACTTGCCGAAGCAGCCATGCCCCAACAGCACTTGCGTCACCCTAAACGACAGGGAGGCGTGCCTTCTCCCGAGCCAGTCGTCGAGTACTGGCCGGATCGCCTCGACGGTAGCGAGGCCGGCGGTAGGTCGCAGAAGCCTTTGCCGCCATTCCGCCACCAAGACCTGACGGAGCTCCTCTCGGCGCAGCGCGATCTGCCGCTGCACCGGCCTCGAGCCCCGTGCCCGCTCTGCTTCGCGCCATCGATATAATGAGGCGAGTACTTTCGCCTCTAGGTCCTAGGGCGGGGATCCGGCCAGGACGCAAGCCGCCTCGTAGGAAATCGTGCGATACCCGCGGACGACTCTGACGGCCATCGCCCTCTGCGGTTTGCGCAGAATGGCGAGAGTGCTGGCCGTCATGTCCATCGCCCACACAGGGGCCCCATACAGGGCCATGGACCGCACGATTCCCACGTACAACCGCCTACAGGCGGCGCTCGGGCCCCCCAAGTTGGGAAGCAACGTTGAAAGCGCGCCCGCTGCACCCATCAGCTTGGGCGCCAGCCGCCGGAAGTGGGGTCCGAATTCCCATCGGCTATCGAGCACCAATCCCAGATACTTCATGGTGGACTCGACAGCTATCCGGGCCCCGCTGACCACGATGTGTGAACCCGGTGGCGGCGCGCGTCGAGGGCCATGGAACACCATGGCCTCCGACTTGTTTAGGGCCACTTCCAGGCCCAGGCGCCGGATGCGGTTCACCACTTGTGACACCGCAGCCGTGGCAACCAACGCTGCTTCCCTGTGCGAACTCCCGGGCAATGACGAGCGTGTCGTCCGCATAACACGTCAAGTCGGCGCCCGACGGGAGTTCACCTCTCAACACCCAGTCGTAGCCGATGTTCCACAGGAGCGGTCCCAAGACCGATCCCTGCGAAACACCGCACGACATGACGCACTGACCAGCGCCGTCACGTCATCAATACGTGACGCATCTCTCCTCAAGGCAAGCCCCTATTGCGCGGCGGAGGTAGGGAGGCACGCGATGGTAATTCAGCGCCTCCCGAATCCTCAACGCTTGCTTTAACCTTAGTTACTTTCCCACCATGTGGAAAGTGGCAACTGTCATTGGTATTCCCAATCCAGGAAAACTTCACAACCTCCCCTCCAGTGTTCGTCACATCAGCCTCCTCTAGGCCATGGGCAAATTCTTCGAACGAGTCATCCTTACTCGCATGAGGCTCCATCTGTTTCCCTAAGATGGCGAACCTCTTGTCCTCCCCCACCAATTTGGTTTCCGAGCGGAACATGCTTGTCCCCAACCAGGTTCACCGTATTGTGGAATATATCCTCAACGGTTTCTATCCTCGTCATCATAAGACCATCGCGGTCTTTTCCGACATAGCAAAGGCATTCGATAGAGTCTGGCACGAAGGCCTTATATATAAACTATACAAAATAGGTCTCCCTGATCGTCTTGTTCGTCTCGTGGCCTCTTGCCTGAAGGATCGTGCCTTTCGTTTTAGATACGAAGGCACGCTCTCCTCTCAACGCCCTATCAAAGCAGGTGTCCCTCAGGGCTCAGTGCTTGCAAATTTAGCGACACTATTGATGACCACCTGCACCACTTAGAGGTCGCCCTGAGTTGCCTTAAGGGCAGAAGGGTGATCATGGGCCTCGACGCCAATGCGCACTCGCCACTCTGGTATTGTGATCGCCGACACTACGTGGGAAGAGGACAAAATGTACAATATCGAAGGCAGCAAATGGAGGCGTTTATTATCACACATGCTCTAACGTTGGCAAATATGCCTGACCAGCCCTACACCTTCTCTGGGCCTAGAGGTGAGTCCAACGTGGACCTGACCCTCTCCACTGGGGACGTCTACCTTGCCGAGTGGCGAGTGCACGAGGGGGTATGCGCCAGCGATCATAATTTAATAACTTACACGGCCACTACCAGCAGGCCGACGACGCGCGCAGCATCCGTTAGGGATCCCCCCCGTTTTCGTGACCGAGGGATGGATTGGGAAAGGTTCCGGGCGATTGTCAAATTACGAATGGGATGGCTGCACGTAGAAAAACCCGCGGCTCTCCTGGCGAAGGAGTTCTCAGGGGTCGTAATTCGCTCTGCGGAGGAAGGCCTAGGGGAGCGTCGCCCCAGGGGGTCGGGGGGGTATGAATGGTGGACATTTGAACTGGATAAAACTCGGAAGTTGCAATGCAAACTTAGGCGTGCTTGGCAGAGTAAAAGGCGTCTGGGAGGTAGGTCTGAGGAGTTAGCCAGGATGCCTTTCCATAGTGTGCGTGCGAGATATAGGACGATGATGGTGGAGGCGCAGCAGTCGCAGCACAGGAAGATTGCCAACTCTGGCAATGAGGACCCATGGGGCTTTGCATACAGGCTCTCCAGCGGCAGGGTACGTCCGCCTGTAAATGTGATCAATGGGATCGCCTTTGCGGGTGTACACCCGGACGATCTGGAAGCAGTGGAATGTGCTGATGGACGACCTGCTCCGACTCCCTCTGCCCGAGGGAGTAGCCATGACTGCCTATGCCGATGATGTTACAATCTTGATTGAATCGGGTACGAGAGCGGGTATCGAATCCAGGGCCAGAGTCACTCTGGACCTTGTACGGGAGTGGGGGCTAAGGAATCGACTGGAGTTTTCCTCCTCAAAGTCAACCACCATGACTGTTAGAGGGAAACTTCAGCGCCCCCCCGTTATTAAACTTGGTGGGGAATCTATTAAGACAGTGACTAACGTTAAGGTATTAGGCGTGGTTTTAGACTCGGGACTATCGTTTGTGCAACATGCATCCGATATCTCTGAAAGAGCGACCAAGAGATTCGGCAAGATGTCTCGCGTATCTACATCATCATGGGGTGTACGATATCCGAGTTTAAAATTAATTTATAGAGGAGTTTTTGTGTCCACGCTTACGTATGCGGCAGAGTGCTGGTACGAGCGTGCAAACATGTACACAGTTCGTAGCGTACTACTGAGATCGCAGCGATCCGCTCTTGTATTGTTAACCAAGGCGTACCGATCCACTAGCACAGCAGCCTTACCGTTGCTGGCTGGCGTTCTCCCTGCTGACCTAGAGGTCATCCGTGCTGGTAGGATGGGTATAGCACGTTTAACCGCGCCCAAAGAGGAGTTGAGCAGACGGAATCGCGATATCTGGACTGAGATGATAGGCGCCTGGCAGGATAGATGGACGTGTGATACAAAAGGACGTGAGCTACATCGATTTTTCCCAGACGTGGCGTTGAGACTCAGTTATACCTGGGTCTCACCGGACTACCAAACCTCTCAGATTCTCACCGGACATGGATGCTTTCGGAAGAGACTGAGCGATATGAAACTGTGTGAAATTAGTATGTGTGAGTGCGGTATGTCGGAGGAGGATGTTCACCATGTTCTATGGGAATGTCCTCTGTATGATGACCTAAGAGTGAAAATGATGGATGGACTAGTTCGTCCGGTTCAGGGACCAGTTTACTACTCGGATCTCGTCAGCGATGTGGTAAACTACGGACTGTTGCGCGAGTTTGCGCATAGGTGGCACGATCGCAGGATAAGGCAGGATAGAAGGCTGGTAGGAGTGCCCGACGACGTAGGCGTCAATGTGTCGTCAGCCCCAGAAGGGGGAGAATGAAGTTAAACTGGGACAAGGAATAGATTAAATATTTGTAGGGAGTCAAGAAAGTGTGCGCGGGAAAGAGCCACGTGCAAGTACCGCGCGCATCTCCCGAGATTCGGCCCGTATGACCTGAGGGTCGGTGGGGCCATGGGAGGTGGAGGGCTCAGTGCTTGCCCCTCTGCTGTATATCCTGTACACCAACGACATTCCCATCCCGTCGGTAGGTGTTCAGCTCTCCCTCTTTGCAGACGACACTGCGCTCTACTGTATATGTATCTCACTACCTTTCATACGGAACAAGATCCAAAAGTCAGTTAATGACAGGAAGTTGAGTCTATAGTATCTCATGATATAGGCATAAACTTTCTGCTGAGTTAAGCTTTTGCCAATATCTCCCAAAAACTTTGCAACGTAATGTGGCAAAAACACGGAATATAAAAAACAAGAGGAATCCCAAAGTGGGCGGGGCAGGCGTGTCACAATTAGCGACAGTAGAACATAATTGACTGTCAGTCGCAGGCTAAATTTGTCGCGAACTAACGGGTCGCTACTTCAGTAATATATGCAAAAATATGCCGTTTTGTGCAGTATTAGAGTGTAGAAACAATAGTAAAAATATAAAAGTTTCAAATGGAGGTGTTTCGTACCACAGGTACGTGTAATTTTATTTATTTTTGCAAAGAAACGTGAATAAACATGGACAAAATATGATATTGCCTATATTTCAACGAATATTCAACCTTATTCCGTTATTCTAACGCTTATCTGTCAAAGCGTTATTAATAAAAAGTGTTGCGATAGTGTTGTGACGATATTAAAATCGATAATTTTTTATCTCCGTCCCGTTTATTCACTAACATATTAATGAAAATGTGCAAATACTGGATGTCTTTGAAAATATAAAAAAATTATAGGGTGATACTGTCACCTTATGAATGAACATTTTATTAGGGTTGTTAAACCAGAGAAGTAAGTAACTTAGTAATACTCATAAAAATAACGCGTTATTAATTTGTAAATAATCATTTACAAGGAGAACAACCTGTTGTGCGTTTTCAGGTTTCCTAAAGATGGCTAGATCAAGGAAGCTTGGGTTAAGGCAACTGGCAGGCAAAACTGTTTGCCATTTAAAAGTAGCAGCATATGCTCGGAGCACTTTACTGAAAGTGATTTCTTAATATCGAAACGAGGATACCACTATTTAAAAACTTCGTTCAGTACCTACAAAAAAGATTTTGTCTTATATTGAAGTAAGTTAATCCAGACTATTTTAGTTCATATATTAAGTAGTAATAAGTTTTGAGAGCTTAATGTAAAAATATATAAAACGAAACTTCAATGTAGCGGTTTTTTATTTTTATTTTGTTTGTGATAAAATGTGAGATAGTTCATACTGAATCCTTTCTGTTTCAGAATAAACATTGCATTGTCACAACAATGGTTGGGCCTTCAAAAAGACAACTTAAATTGGATAATTTAGATTCTCAGCCTACTAAGAAAGCTCGTATTCTAAATGATAATAACAATAACGAAGAAAAAGTGAAATCAAAGTACTTAAAAGATATAGCTTAAAATTTTGAGCCGATTGCAGAAAATTTTGTAGAAACAAAAGTTCTACCTAACAAAAGCTCCGATAGGAACCAACAAAATGGGAATTACGTGTTTTCGCAAATTCCAGGCAGTAAAATGCTAAATGAACAGGATTATGTAGCACTAGAAACTCATCCAATAGTTAAAACTGTTGGGGTCAACGAAGACGTGGGAAGTTCAACGTTTTCAACGCCAAGAAAACAAAAATTGAGACGTATGTTAAGATGGTCCGAAGAAAAGATTAAAAAACAGAATTTAAAGATAAAGCGATTACAAAGACATAACCGAAGATTAAAGAAGAAAATATCAAGCATTGAAGAACTATTAGAAACATTACAAAATAAATTTGCCATGGAGAAGGAAAACCTAGCCAACTTAAAAAATACCAATATAGAGGTATGTATTATAAAGTATAAATACTTGACTGTTATTTTATGGTACTCATATGATGTCATATCATCATTCACGGGAATAGATGGGGTAGTACTATTTATTGCCGTAACTAAACAGGGTACTACTGCTGGTTGGTAATTGTTACAGATTCAAGAATTAATTGTTCGAGAAGTTAAAAATGCTGACTCTGGAGTTGTATCAAGACAAAAATATTCTGCAGCTCTCGGCAGCTTCGCTCTAATCTTGCATTATTACTCGCCTAGAGCATACGACTACGTACGCAAAATATTTCATGCAAGCCTACCACATTCACATACTCTAAAGAAGTGGTATTTAAAAATAGGCGGGGAGCCAGGATTTACCAAAGAGTCTTTTATGGCTCTAAAACTTAAAGCCGATACATTTCAACAGCCACTGCTAGCCACATTAGTGCTTGACGAAATGAGCATTCGCCGCTCTGGTAAAACAGTGCCTTGAGCTAACTCATGATGCTTGTGTTAGAATAGTGGCATTAACTTTTGATGGTTGCGCTGCAAATATTTCTATGGCAGAACATCTTGGTTGCTCCTTCGAAAAACAAGATATCAAATTTGATCATCCTATTACCAAAGATCCGATAGTTGCAGTCCTCGACCCCTGTCATATGATAAAATTATTGCGAAACGCATTTGAACACAATGAAATTTTGATAAATAAAGATGGCAGTAAAATTCACTGGCGACATGTCGTTAAGCTTAATAAACTTCAATATAAAGAAACATTTCATTTATCCAATAAACTAAAAAACCGGCACATCAACTTTCAAAAAGAGCTAATGAAAGTCAAGCTGGCTACTCAGCTTTTCAGCTTAAGTGTTGCAGAGGTTCTAAAATATTTTAGAAATTCCGGAATGGAATTGTTCAGTGATAGTGAACCCACTGAAGAGTTCCTAATTGTGTGTAATAATGTTTTCAACATTTTTAATTCAAGAAATTTACATTTTTATGGTTATAAAAAAGCATTGAATGAAGATAACGCGTCGAAAACATTTACATTTTTGATAAAGGCGATAGTTGATAAATACATTGATATCCGAATTCATCACCTTCTAAAATTAAATATTAAACTATCAAAACGACAATTTTTAAATAAATACGTATTATTTCAAGGACAATAAACAATGATTTAAGGTTTTGTTTTTTATTATACTCCTTGTTTCTATTTCAAAAATGATAATTTGGCTCAATATTAATATATTTCCATCAAAGTCAACTGATTATATGTCGACTATGTGAATTTCGATGAATATACGTAGTGCATGAAGGCAATTCCCACTAAATTTTGTTATTTTATTAATTTCATCATAGATTATTACATACTTTAATATTGACTAAATATCGATAACTCAAATCACGTTCGACCAGTGTAACTACATCACTAACAATTCACGTAGTAGTAGCCGGTTAGATAGGGCAAAGATAAGCTTATGACCATTATCTTTGTGCCTATAATAGCTTGAAATTATTATTGCGACATATAACGTTACGAAGCTGAAATTGATCATTATTTCTAGAAACTTCTTTGATAAAAAGGAATAATATGATCTTTATTTTTAAGGTCTTATGGTTGGTACTAAAGCGAGTCGGGAATAATATAATGCCTTTTTCTTTTATTTCTTAAATCACGTGAAAATGATTCAAATAGCGAATGTGTGAGTTTGGCGACAGTGGTTCTGGTACAAATTATATGTTTTGCTACTTCCTCTTGTTTTTTATATTCCGTGAAATAAACGCAAGCTAAGCTGTATAGTCTTTAACTTGTGCTTGCCTTAATAAGGAAATTGTAACAACAACTGCAGCAACCCTTTAACTGACAACAATCAACATTGAGGGTTTTTTTGGCGGGAAATTGACCGGCGGCGGTTTGCTGCTCCTGTATTATTGTTTAAATAATGGTTTGAAGTGGACTTTGATATGTAAAAGTGTTGCGATTTTGTGTATTAAGTGTCTACGCATGTGAACTATTAGTGGAAACAGTGAAACAAGTGCTCTGATGGTGATGGATTCTCAAGATAAGCTGTTTGTTTGCATAGGCACCTTTAGATACCATCGCCAACTATCAGCTGTCTGCTGGATCAAGTTGCCGCCAAAATCTCCCAAGAACTGCACAATGTGACGCATCAACATATTGTGAAGTAGTATACTATGAAGGAGTGGGGAAATTACAATAAACCGAATAAAAATACTTAAGACTTGGCCTAAAGGTCTAGATACCAGGCCATAAACTCCAAAAAAAAAACAATCAACATTGATATTTGGCCTAAAGGTCTAGATGCCAGGCCATAAACTCCAATCAACATTGATATTGTCAATGTCACATTGACTTCGTCTTAAAAATATTTAGAAACTTACAAACTTACAAAATACAAAATAGTACCTACTAGTATTTATTTTAATAAATTAAGTATTTTACCATGCTCTATGCATTATATCTTGCAATTACTCCTTGGTAAAAAGCATAATAAATAGAATAAACTTGTGCTATTATTAGGTTTAACCTAATTGCTGAAGAAATCTTTCTTCAAAACTTCTTTTAAACCAAGGAATAATCTTCTGAAGTTAAAAGTATAATAAATAATAAATAAATATGGGTAAAAGACAGCATCAAAAGGATAAAATGTTAGTGTTTATTACTCTTAATTCGATTTATGTTATATGATTCAATGGTTCAATTTCAGTAATGTCTACATTAATCTTGTAGGTATATTACATATACTGAATGGACAACACTATATGGAGGCAAAAGATCTGGTACTTCAGTTGAAGAAGATACATCCTTTAAAAGACTTCCTTTTGACCATTGTTGTCTATGTTTACAACCTTTTGACGATCCTTTCTGTGATGGAGATGGAAATGTTTTTGAATCAGAAGCTATCATTGCATTTATTAAAAAGTTTAAAGTTAATCCTGTGACTGGAAAGGTCTGTGTTGGTTTATAATTCCTGTATACTTAGAAATGATGATATCTGGAGTAGAATCCGAGTGACCAACATAGCCCAACGGATTAGTAAGCTGAAGTGGCAATGGACTGGCCATATAGCTCGAACAACCGACAACCGATGGGGAAAAAAGGTTCTTGAGTGGCTGCCTCATACCAGCGGACGAAGTGTAGGGTGTCCCCCCACTAAATGGAGTGACGACCTGGTAAGACATGTGGGAAGTCGATGGATGCAGGTGGCTCAGGACCATGCTTTGTGGCATTCCTTAGGGGAGGCCTATGTTCAGCAGTGGACTTGTGAAGGGCTGTAATGATGATGATGATATAATTCCTAAATTTCTGTAACATTTTATATTTAGTCACATCTAAAAATCTAAATATGGTACGACTTTCCATTGACGTCAGTGGAGTTTGGTGTTGATACGTATTTTTACAGAAAGATTACACTATTATAAGCACACACACAAAGTCTCAATATACGGAAACGTGTAATTTTTGAGAAAAGAATAATTGAAATTCAATTATTCTTGCAATGTTTATGTCTAATCTGCTAATAAACTGGCACCATTTTGTAATGTCATTGTCGACATCAATAGGGATGTCGATTCTTTCCGAAAAAGATCGATTTTTTAAATAGATTCGAATTGTAAGCTGATCGAAAAATCGATTTCTAAAATATCTATATTTAAAAAAATATGAAGTGCTGCACTGCTATAAAAAAGGCTAATAGTCATTAATAGGGGATTTAAAGTTAAAGTTACAGGTTTCCTCACAATGTTTTCATTCACCGCCGAGCATGTAGTAAATCAGCACTTAAAAATGCAAATAATAATTTCATTGGTGCCTGTGGGGATCGAACCCAGGTTGCTTGCGTACTGTGAAATTTATAGTGTGCGCAAACCATCTGAGCTGCGATGGATCTATGGAATTTACAATAACATATTTATAACTAGGCCAAAACAATTAGGCACATGACAGGAATGCCGTTTTGCCACCCACATCCTGCCTTTATCTCCTGGCTTCCCCTAGTGACCAATCACTGTTCTGGTGTTCCCTTCCTAGTTCCGATGACGTCTTAGTTGTCATGCGCCTAATTGTTTTGGTCAAGCAGTAATAAATTACCTCGGTATGTTAGAAATTAAAACAAATTGCGTCCATTTAATAAGAAATTAAAACATTATTTAATGCAAAGCAGTTTTTATGATCCAGAAGAATATCTACAAAATTAAAATAATCTATAGTAAACCCAGTTATGTATTCTAAGTTAAAGATATTATTTTTTTATAATTTTAATTGATAATTTAATCTAATTTAACTATCAACTTTATTTGAGAACATTAATTTAGTATGTAACTTATGTTAGACATAGTCCCATAAAGCAAATATTGTAATACCCAAAAAGGATGGTTAATATATAACACTTAACATAAATTAAATACTTTAAATTTGAATTTGAATAAGGACTCAGAATTTTTCATTATCAAAATTGTCAAGATATGTTTATTCTAAAAACATATGTAAGATTATGCTCACCTAATTACTATGCAGTCAGTGCATTTAGTGAGTTTTTTAATATTTCCAGAAAATCCCAGCAACCAAAATTATTGTAAATTAGCAAGTTTTAAAATTTCATTAAACAAAAATGAAGAAAAATTTTTATTATAATATAAAGGAATTTATGAATTAAAATAATCCCTGGAAATGAGGTGATCACTACCAATCTGTATTTGTAATTGTTCATATAAATAATTGTACACTACTAATATAAATTGGTATATTAAGAAAATACTCTGGGTTTCTTATTGCTTTTTGATGTGTTAAATAGAAAAGTTATGGCCTATAAATAGATTTTTATCTAATTATAATAATTTATGATGAATAAATAATAATATGTTCTATTCTCAATGATCATAAGTTTCTGTCAAAACTGTAGTATGATCCTTCCTTTTTTTTCAGAAATTTGATGTAAAAACATTAACAAAGTTAAACTTTTTCAAAAATTCCCAAGATGACTATCACTGCCCTGTTTTATTTAAGCCATTTACTAAAAACTCTCATATTGTCGCTATTCGTACAACTGGAAATGTATACTGTTATGAGGCAGTGGAACAACTTAATATTAAGGGTAAGAACTGGAAGGATCTCGTCAATGACACACCATTCACTAGGAGTGATATTATTACAATACAAGATCCCAACAATTTGCAGAAGTTTAATATTTCCAATTTTCACCATATTAAAAATAACTTGAGAGTTGAAACAGAAGGTAAGAAACACTTTGATGTAGAAATTTAATAATTTATGCCTCCTACCTAAACACCTGCATCCATCAACTTTCTGCATCCATCAACTTTCTGCATGGTTTTATCAGGTCAATCCATCTAGTTGGCGGCCTATCTACACTTCGCCTACCAGTACGAGTCTGCCACTCGAGAACCTTTTCCCCATCAGTTGTCGGTTCTTCGAGTGATTTGGCCGGCCTGTTGACACTTTAGCTTTCTAATCTGCTATATCTGATAGATACTTTGGTTCTACTGCGGGCGGATATTCTCGCATAGCAAGCATAGCAGTTGCTATAGCTTGCTGAGCGATCTTGAGCTTCCTCATACAGCCAGCAGATAAGGACCACATCTCAGATCCATAAGTCAGCACTGGCAACATGCACTGGTTGTACAGTACAGGTGGCTCAAGATCGTGCTTTGTGGCATTTTTTGGGGGAGGCTTATGTTCAGCAGTGGACTTGTGTAATAATGATGATGATGATAATGATATCTAAATACCAACCTAACCTGCATGTAATCCTCCTGGTTGGTTAGAAAACAATGTGAGTGAAAAATACATCAAAACATATTGCAGTTGAAAGCAAACACATTATTATCAGCAGGGTTACCGGTCTACCTGTGATCTTAAAAAGGCTATTCCTGATGTTGAATGAGAGGTTTTACAAATTATTCAACACTAGCTGTTCCCCGCGACTTTGCCCGCGTGGAAATATTTTTCGCGGAACTTTAAAATAAAAATAGCCCAAGTTACTCCTTATAACATCAGCTATCTGCCAGTGAAAGTTCTATCCAAATCGGTTCTCAGGTTTTTGTGATGCGTGTTCAGACGAACATCATGTTTTTTTTTTAACTTACTTAACCTTATTACGTTATATTTTGGCGAATTTACACAATATCTTTTTAATTATATATCAGAATAACACATAAGGTATGTGTTATACTGATGTATAATTAATAAACATGAGCTATATAATTGTAATGTTTCATAAAATCCATTTAGTAGTTTTAGCGTAAGACTAACAAACATCCATACATCCTCACAAACTTTCGTAGGTTAGGTATGTAGTATGTTTATGATATTAGTAGTACTAGTAGGATTATTTGCTGTTAAAATTTGATTTGCGACTGTCATTGATAATCACTTTCACCTTTTATTACAGAGGAAATTGCAATGAAAAAAGATCCACATGCACGATTAAAAACAGTGTCGGCTGAGACCAAAGATATACTTGAAGAGCTTGAAAAAGAATACAAAGCACCTGAAGTTAAGGCGCCTAAAAAGGAGGCAAGTACAGTTCATAATTTTTATCATATTTTGTAAATAACACAAACTTGTCAAGCTATAAATTTGTCATGTGTAGCTTAAAAGAATTCTCACCTCATTTTGTACTGTGGCTGTAATAAGAGGTGAGACTATAGTAAACAGGACATTCTGTAATACAGTTGCACAACAAACCTTTCAATAACTAGTAATTTTATAGTAAAGTTATTTTGATTCAGGGCTGTACCAAAATTACTTATTAAATCAATTTAATTTCTAAATATTGAAATACCGTGATTCCAGTCGTATAGTTACAAAAATAAAAAATATTGATCTTTATATAAAAAAAGTCGGCGATACCAAATATCTATTTCTTATACTTAGGTCATAATAAGAGGTATTTTACGACAAAAAATATTGAAAATTGATCTGTGAGCTTTATTATTAGGCATTAATCCTTACGAACGAAAGTTACTTCATCACCAAGACAATTTTATGAAAATGAACTGTTCGCGCCAAACGCTGTTTTGTTGTATCGACGTCAGAGGGCGCGCGGCTTGGTGCCATACCGGTTTGACTTTCGGTCGTGAGTAGAACGCGCCAGCGCAGCAGTCGTCTGCCAGCTGTGCTAACGCCAGCACGCTGTCAATTTTGTTCGGGAACTCGGAATAATTAGGCGCGGATAGTAAATATTAAGTCTAGGATTTGTGACGCGCATTCCTTGCTGGAGAGCTTCCCAGGGACTCATTGTGTCGGACTCGGAATCTGTATAAGTGCATTCGACAATATTAGCTAAAGCGGCCTTTGATAGTCTAGAAATAACTGTTGCTACGCGAAGCGGTAGTGACCTTTGATCCGGACACTCCCTGTTCATTTTGTGTGTAAGGCTTTATAACAAACGAGAGTTAGTGGCTTCTGTAAGTTAGTTAATAGTACGATAGAGTTAATGGACTGTCATCGTGACGAACGAGGAAAGTGACTGTGGACGGCGCCGCGGAAGATAACCTCAATTTAGAGCGGTGCTGACGTCCGGGTGGCTGCCGACGGCCAAGGTCTACTAAGGTCAATCACCATCAGTCACACCCAGATACACATCACAGAACCTTATTTCCCTTGCACTACACCACCACATGCGACTTGACCGACTCCGGAGGGACCAGTCGCCTTGGATATAGGTAAGTAAGCTCCGTCTAAAATTCTCCCGGTTGAATGGCCGTAGTATAGAACGCTCCCCCATATAGTTTAGTGTAACTACAGATTTTCCACTTTGGCCTTAAGAGGCCCGACCTACGTCTGCTCGTCGAAACTCAGCTGAATGGGCCCCTGAGGATTTGACCTTTATGGGAGCAGCCGTAGGCCGTAACATGAACTGTGCTCATTATAGCAAGGTTTTTTGACGCATAGTTAAGGAGAACGGAACCCAAGGGGTCAGCAGTTGGCCAACTTCATGGAGAAAGAGGAACTCTTTATGATGAACTATTTATTTCAGAAGCAGCCCCACAGGAAGTGCACCTGGTCGAGCTCCAACGGTTCGCCAAAGAATGAGATTGACTTCATTATGACGACCAGATGACAACTGTACAGTGATGTCTCAGTGATCGCGAGGGTAAAAACCGGCTTCGATCACCGAATGATTAGAGGCACACTAGATCTATACGTTAAGTTAGAAAGTTCTCGACGCTCCGTCCCCCTCGTATGCTAATATAAAGTCCCGAAACTTCAACAGATTTGACAGCATATAGACAACTGAACCGACAGATTTCCAAGTGCATGCGGCGGGACTTACGCAACTTCAATACAGCTCGTATTGAAGAAGCGATCGAGCGGAACCAAGGCTCCAAAGTCTTTGCCAGAGATCTGTCTGCCAGAAAAAGCCAAGTGTCAAAGTTGAAGACCGAGTGTGGCAGCATCGTTTCCAGGACACCTGAGATTTTGAGCAAGATAAGATCCAAGAGCAAGTATTATCCGACACTATGCCGATGATGTCCCGGACGTCAGTCCGAGCGAGTTTAGAATGGCTCTCCAGCACCTTAAAAACGGCAAGTCCCCGGACATGGAAAGAATTGCAGTGGAGCTTCTGAAAGCGGGTGGAAAACCGGTACTTGAAGTCCTTCAGAAGATTTTTACTAACTATTCCGGAGGCGAGGAGTAGAAGTGCGGTGGTCTTGTTCTTCAAGAAAGGCGACAACGCTATCTTGAAGAACTACCGACCGATTTCCCTTCTGAGCCGCGTCTACGTGCTGTTTTTGAGAGTCATTACTAATCGTCTTGCACACAGACTCGACGACTACCAGCCTCCCGGACAAGTCGGTTTCCGAAAAGGCTTTCATACCGTAGACCACATACACACTCTTTGGCAAATTGTATAGAAGACCGAAGAGTACAATCTGTCACTTTGCCTTGCGTATATATATGGACTATGAGAAGGCCTTTGATTCCATCGAAATTTGGGCGGTGGTACAGTCCCTTCAGCGGTGCCAAGTTGATTGTCGGTATATCAATGTGCTGAAGTGTTTGTCCAGTAGAGCTACGATGGCTATCCGAGTAGAGAATCAGAGTACGAAACCTATCCAACTGCAGAGAGGTGTAAGACAGGGTGACGTTATATCCTCGAAACTCTTCACTGCTGCATTGAAAACCGAATCGTCTCGCATGTAGACTCGACAACTCCCAGCCTACCGAACAAGCCCGTTTTCGAAAAGGCTTTAGAAGTATAGGCCACATACATACCCTACGGCAAATTGTACAGAAGTCCGAGGAGTACAATTTGCCTCTATGTCTGGCGTATGTGGACTATGAGAAAGCCTTTGATTCCGTCGAAATTTGGGCGGTGCCAAGTTGGCTGTTGGTGTATCGAAGTGCTGAAGTGTTTGTACAGTAGGGCTACGATGGCTATCCGAGTACAGAACCAGAGTACGAAACCTATCCAACTGCAGAGAGGTATGTAAGACAGGGCGACGTTATATCCCCGAAACTCTTCACCGCTGTATTGGAAGATGTTTTCAAGCTACTGGACTGGGAAGGATACGGTATTAACATCAATGGCGAGTACATCACTCACCTTCGATTTGCCGACGATATAGTCCTTATGGCATAATCGCTGGAGGATCTAAGCGTTATGCTCAATGAACTCAATAGTGTCTCCCAACGGATAGGTCTTAAGATGAACATGGACAAAACAAAGATCATGTTTAATGTCCATGTCACATCTATGCCGGTTGCCGGGGGCACTAAGCTCGAAGTTGTTGATGAGTATGTTTACCTGGGACAAATAGTCCGACTAGGTAAGTCCAACATCGACCGACAGGTCAATTGATGATGCTGGGCAGCGTTCGGGAAATTACGACACATCTTCTCGTCAGGTATACCTCAAAATATGAAAACGAGATTGTACAACTAGTGCTATACTAGAGGTTTCTCTGCGTGATAAACTTAGAGATGGAATATCCCCAGTAGAACCCAAGTGATCGACATAGCCCAACGGATTAGTAAGCTGAAGTGGCAATGTGCCGGCCATATAGCTGGAAGAACCGACAACCGATGGGGAAGAAAGGTTCTCGAGTAACAGCCTCGTACCGGTAGGCGAAGTATAGGGCGACCCCCCACTAGGTGGAGTGACGACTTGGTAAGACATGTAGGAAGTCGATAGATGCAGGTGGCTCAGGACAGTGCTTTGTGGCATTCTTTGGGGGAGGTCTATGTTCAGCAGTGAACTTGTGAAGGGCTGTAATGATGATGATGGAGTTAAGGAGATTATGAAAAATTAAATAATTCAACATTCAGCTTGGCGCGCGAACGATGTACATTACTCTAGCCACAGATGACAGGCTCAGACGCACATAAGGACGAAGTGTTACTTTACTCCTATTTTGGTGTCGGTTAAAAAGTACTTAACCACCTACATTTAAAGCACCACTGCTACTCTACTTATTTCCTCAAATATGTTTGATCAAAACATATTTTGTATGTATATTCAACTATTGGTCAAAGGTTCATAATATCTTGTTTTAAAGGTAAACATCAATTGACTAGATAAATCGGGAGTTTCACAAAAACTCAGTTCTGTTATAACATAATGGGTCGTACAGTCAAACGTAATAGGCATTGAGTTAGTATTACGGACATAATTTATACAATCTGTAAGTTGAGTTGGCTAGTGGCCAAATACATTTACGTTGTCTCATGGTGTCACAGTCACGTTTACTTAAAGTAATAGATACTTAACATGTTGCTACAACAGTAAAATTGAGTAGCGTTTGAATATTTGGGCAATAACTATCTATGTTTAGCATATACATTATATGAAGTTGCAGTATCATCGCAGTTTAAAATCTCATTAGTAATATTTGTTGTCTTATTGTGTCTTCTAATTTAGGTTGCTGACAAGTTCAATGCCGCACATTATTCGACTGGCATGGTGGCAGCCAGTTTTACTTCGACAGCCATGGTGCCAGAGACAGTGCATGAGGCCGCTATAATCTGCGAGGATGAAGTCAAATACGAGAGGGTGAAAAAGAAAGGTATACACTCTAAAATATTCTAGCATTAGTATTGCGGGGGTGTAATGACGACGACGATGATTATGACGATGACAACATCGATGGCGATGATAATGACGATGACAATGATGATGGTAGTGACAATGACGAAGAAACTGACAATGATAATGATGATAGCAGTTACATTGACGATGACAACGATGATGACAATGATAATGATGATGGCAGTGACAATGACGATGACAATAACGACGACGATGACTTTGACAAAGACGCTGAAGATGACAATGATGATGATAATAACGATGACGCAAATTATGATGGCGAAAACTTTGATGACGATGGCTATGACGGTGATTAAGATTATGATGACAATGATCTAAACGTCTTAACTAAAAGAAGCATTTCTGCGTCGTGATGCGTCGCGCGACGCCGCGGGGAATTTTAGAATTATCACAATAAAATGTACATCTCTTTGTAGTAAATATAAAGTTATATTTTGTATCACGATCTTAAAAAGTGCGCGTCGCAGCGCGTTGCGTCATGTTTCGGTGTGAACTGACCCTTACACAGCATTTGAAAGTCTGAGATCATATATTAACAACATTTTTTTACCCCAATCAACTCTATCCCGTTTTTGTGTTCTAGCGTTATAAAGTTGCCTAATTTTTAAATGTTGATGTAATTTTTTTTTAATTTGGCTCATACCAATACATAAATGTCGTAGAATATCTTCATAGGCGATGCGCCGGTTTTCTTCAATTGGTCGCCTGACAATAGCGACATTTTCCTAAGTGATCACAGTTGACAGTCGACCTTCAAGAATTTCATCATGTAAAAGAAGAAACACGGCTACGATACCAAGGTCTTACGATGCACTCCTCCCAAAAGCATTTTGAAGACGAACAGTGCTTTTGCGTCTTGCAAAGAGAGTATACTATTAAAATCTAAAAAAAAATCATCACCCTAAAATCTTTTCGCGGTAATTCTGAACAACTGAAAAACGAACTTCAACTTGTGATGAAAACAATAGACAGACGACTTTCGGCTAAAAATATTATGAGTTTCTTATGTTTAAGAAAATTGAACATTTGAAATTCAAAATTTATGATCGGCTAGGAGCGCAGAACTTTCAGTATGCTCTAATGTAACACATACCCATGTTATATTCAACGCTTTGCGTTGTCAAAGCCTTTTTATTTGCGCTTCCAACTTACAACTTGTCTTGTCAACTTACAAAAAGCATGTCCTGCGCATTTAAAATTGTCTGATAGTATTTTATGTTGACGTCAGAAAACAGTTGAATACTAATGACGTATATTTTTCAAACAGGTTACGTCAGATTAGTAACGAATTTCGGGCCGTTGAATTTTGAGCTGTACTGTGATGTGACGCCTAAAGCTTGTGACAATTTTATCAAACATTGCCATAATGGATACTACAATGGAACTAAGTTTCATAGATCCATAAGGAATTTCATGGTGCGTATTAATTGTAAATGTTATTAATTAATCTAAAAGCTAATTAAGGGCACAGGCCTCGTCACGATTTTGAGATGGTTATAGAAAAAGAAAAGAGCCCGCCGCGCTATCCCAGTGTTTTGGCGACATCACATGGCCTCGAAATATTTTTTAATTTCCTAGATATTTAGGTTTCCTCACGATTGTTTCCTGCCCCGCCGAGCCAACTCAAATTGTGGTAGCGTGGAACGATTATCCGCTACCACCGGTTTTAAAGATCAATTGAACATTTTTAAAAGAATTCTCCTGATGTTAAATAAATTTACTGTCGGTAATGGGCTTACTATTGTTTAAAACATCTGGTTGGTTACTGATGTATTTTACTTTTGCAAAATACCACCTATTGTTGTCTTTTAATCTATGAGGAGTTCGTTTAATAACGATCTGTGATGCATTCCACACTTATCCTTAGGATTAACAATTCACACATAGCGTTCTTCGGCTGGTTGGCTGGCTATTACTGCTAATGTCTATGGAGTGCAGTGGTCATGGGCTGTAATGACCACTTACCATTAGGAAAACTGTGAAGTCGTCGTAATTTATTATCTATCATTTACCATTACAGTATATTAAAATCCACTGCTGAACATAGGCCTCCCCCATAGATTTCCTCATACGGGGGATATTTGAGATAGTTGGCACACTTGGAAGGTGGGTTGGCTACGGCAGTTTTTTATTTTTAGTCGTTATTATTAAAACGCTACTGCCGATCTCCTGATTTGTTTCCCTCCGTCACCTCTTACGACACCCACGGGATGATTTGGAGTAGTGGATATTCAGACACCGCCACTACACGGTAACATAATTTTTTTTTAAATCTAAAAAATGATTTATGTAAACAAAATATACCCAACAGATTCAAGGCGGTGACCCAACAGGCACAGGCCTCGGCGGTGAGTCCATTTGGAAGAAACCATTCGAGGACGAGATCAGACCTAATCTGCATCATACCGGTAGAGGAGTGTTGTCAATGGCTAATTCTGGACCGAACACAAATGGATCGCAGTTGTAAGTACAAAATTAAATAATAATAATAATAACCTATAAATATCACACGGGCCCACAGCTGGGTTTAGCGTTTTCCCATTCTATTGAGGGTGTGACTCAATAGAATAAGAAAATGCTAAACCCAGCTGTGGCAGGTCTTGCTTGAAGTGGCCGGTCGGCTCGCGTATGCTGTGCACTGATAAGCAGTGGCGAAGCTAGGGCTCCAAACTAGGGCAAGCCCAAGATATATTTTTGTTGTTTTTAGCAGTTTTATAAAAATTTACCTTTTCTGTTTTTCGATTTTACCTTTACCTCGCCGATTAGCACTTTAACTCACTTCAATTCATCACAAGAAACACTGTTATTCTCCATTTTCACTAAAAATCTAAAAAAAAAGCAAAAATTTTCATTCGCTCAAGTAAACACACAGAGTAAACATTGGAATGTGAAGTTGTGAAGTGAACTTTGCAAACGCACGCCCCCACGCTCGACAACTTCACACTGAAAGCCTGGCTTCTGATCTACATACTGATTGCTATATAAACAATCATAGTTATATTTCATTATAGAACATTTTGCCACAGGTTAGAAAGGGAGCGATCGTCTTCTCGAAAGCCCGGTAAAAAGCCCACGCGTGCGAGAGAGACGACTAATCGCTCAACTCAACTTCTTTTTTATGGCAGCAGTATCGCGCAGTAAAGCAATCTGCCAAGTGTCGACGTTACATAAGCGCGCTTTGAAACAGTGTATGAGTTATTTTATTAGTTGATATTATTAATAGGGCAAGCCGGCTTCTCGGCTTGTATAGAAGCTTCGCTACCGCTGATAAGCTCCAAATTTTTTTTTTACGTGTTTTTTATACGAGTGAATCATAGAACGTGTTTCAGTCGCCGATGAATCTGTTAATGTTTTCCATAATGTATGTACTATGCTGTAGTTATTTGAAAATAACTTAACAAAAGTTACCAAAAAGAGGAAACATATGTCCGGAATTTTTTTTTGCTGTTGTGTCTCCGGCCAGTGGAACTTCATTTCATAACTGATAGTAAAGTAGATGTGAAAAAAAAACAATTTTGACATATGATTGCTAATGTCAAAGATATAAATATAACATAACATAAACATAAACACTCACGCCTGTCACCCAGAGGGGTAGGCAGAGATTATGGACTTCCATTTGGCACGATCCTGACACACCTCTCTCGCTTCCTCCATATCCATATACCTACGCATACACGCTCGTCGGTTAAAGGTACTCTTGATTTGGCCCATTTTTAATATATCGCCAATTTGGTCGATAAACTTTCGCCTAGGGCGACCCTTCCCGACTATGCCGTTCACCTCTGCAACATAAATTTGCTTTGTCACTCTTTCCTCATTCATTCTTTCTACATGGCCAAACCACCGAAGCATTCCTTTCTTAATCCTGGTCACAACATCATCTTGCAAACCACACTCTTCTCTTATTAAACAATTTCTCACTCTGTCATTCAGCTTCATCCCTAACATACTCCTTAATGACCGCATTTCTACAGCATTTATTCTACTCTCATGCTTCTTCTGCCACACCCAACTTTCACTACCATACATTAAAGTAGGTACTAACACAGCATTGGGAATTGCCATACGTGCCTATTTGGACACATTCTGACTTTTCACAATAGAGTGTAGAGCCCCATTCACTCTATTTCCTGCATTCACTCGTCGTTCTATATCCTTATCATATCTACCATCCCTGCTAAACACACATCCCAAATATACAAACTCATCTACTTGCTCTACCAACTCCCCTTCTATTCTTATTTCACATATCGTTTTACTTTCTTCTCTTTCAAAAACCATAACTTTCGTCTTACTTGCGTTCACTTTCATTCCCTTTTCTTTTAATGTCCTGTTCATTAATGCAACCATCATTTGCAACTCGGCTGCCGACGATGCAAGTATGACTTGATCATCGGCGTACAAAAGGCATTTGACGGTTAACTCACCCATTCTTAACCCGCATTCTTCTACTTTCAAATTTTCCAAACAACTGTCCATAAATAGGTTGAACAACCACGGGGAAGCCACACAGCCCTGTCTGACCTTTATGGATGCCAAACCAGTCCGAGTAGGCCCCGTTGATCCTGACACAAGCACTAGAGTCCCTATATAGAGACTTCAATGCCTGTATCAGACCAGGGGTCAACCCAAATGAGTTCAGTGTTTGCCATAACACATCCCTGTCCACTCTGTCATAAGCCTTCTCCAAGTCTATGAACGCACAAAAAACTTTTTGGTTTTTGGCCAAAAACTTCTCCGCGATCATGCGCATGGAAAAGACCTGATCCGTACATCCCATTCCCTTTCTAAATCCCGCTTGCACATCCCAAATTTTTCCATCAGTTTCTTTCATAACTCTTTCAATTAGTACCTTAGCATACAGTTTTCCCACAATGCTAAGAAGGCTGATACCACGGTAGTTTTTACAGTCCTGCTGTGATCCTTTTCCCTTATATATTGGGACTATCACGGCTTTGCACCAGTCTCCCGATACCCGCTTAAGTTCCCAACATAAATTAAACAAGGTGTACAGCAGGTCTGCCACCACTCCTTCTCCAGCCCTTAGCATTTCGAGAGATACTCTATCATAACCGGCTGCCTTACCTGCTTTCATACTTTTCATTGCTTTCATTATTTCATCTATACTTATATCTCTATCTATTTCCTCTTCTTTCGGAATTTCTATTTCATTTAATTCAAACGTCTCATCACTCATAAACACGCTTTCAAAGTATTCCTTCCATCTCCTTAAACTCAAAACTTCGTCATTCAGAATACAGCCATTTTGGTCTCGTATAGAATTCATTTTAGGCTGTTGTGAATGTCCCCTGGTAGTTCTTACGAGATATAAATATATTTTTTCCTTTTCACTTCGTTACATTTCAGTAGCAAACTGGAATAAATAGTAATGAAATTCTTGACCTTGGTGGCAGTTTCACATAGATTATTGAAATCATAGATAACATATGGTTACTTAAATGTGAAATTTAAAATTGGAATTTTCTGCATAACGGTTTAATTTTCAAGTGTAAACAATTATTAAAATATATAGATTATCGTTTGGAATGTCGATTAAAAGCTTTTTAGAGCACTATTTTAAAATATTTTGCGTATTTCTTTAAAATCTTCCGAAAAGTCACTAAAAAAATTCTGTACCATTACATTCGTAAGAATTACAAAGAAAAAAATCTGAAAATATTAAGCATGGAGCCATATCAACTTTCATCTAAATTGCTGTCACTCCTATCATAAAATATATATACTTTTAACTTAAATAAAAGAAAAAAGCTAATTTTTTATCCCTTTGACTGGACTAGGGAAGGGATAAGGAGAACTAGCTCTGGGGATAAGTGCTCGCTGTAAATTTCACAGTACGGGTTCGATTTCCGCCGGCACCAATATAATTGTTAATTGCAAATTTAAATGCTGATTTACCACGTACTCGGCGTTGAAGGAAAACTTCGTGAGGAAACCTGCATCTCTGAGTAATAAGAAAAAATATTTCAAAGAGATGTGAAGTTCGTCAACATACTTTGGGGCAGCGCGGCGGACATTTCCTGGCACTAAAACCATCTCCGAAATGAGAAGAGGCCTGTACCCAACACTGGGACGTATATAAGCTGTAACTTGTAACTTTAAGGCACATCACCATTTCAATGTCGTCTAAATAGTTTTTTGCCACTTTTAGCACTTAGGTGTAGAAAATTTTCTCCAAATTTATACAGGACCGCTGCTGAAATATAACCTACTTAATTAAAAGATAGGACATACAAAAAAAAACATACAGTCGAATTGTTAACCTTCTTTTTGCAGTTGTCTAAAAAAACGTTCAGGGAAATCTACTGTTTTGTTTTTATAGAATAAGGGTGACAAAAAAGCACACAGTCGTCCACCTGATGGTAAGTGGATGCTGTGGCCCATAGTCATCTACAGTTATCCTAGACTGGCTATTTCCCGTGACTTCGCCGGCGTAGAATTTACTACGATTTCATGTGTTTTAATTTCTTGCGCGGAACCCTAATTATTTTTCTAAAATAAAAGTAGCCTAAGTTACTCCTTATGACATCAGCTATCTGTCAGTGAAAGTCCCGTCAAAATCGGCCCAGCCGTTTAGGAGATTAGCTGGAACAAACAGACAGACAGAAAAAAAATGTTGTTATAAGTACCGTATACACTTTCATATGTATTGAGTAAAAAGCTGTAATTTTGACATTACAAACAGACACTTCAATTTTATTTATATGTATAGATTAAAAGTTTCAGTTTTTGACCTTTTTAAGTAGAATAAGGAACATCAAGTAGGAATATCACAAGACATAGTCGCATAAATATTATGTATAAATACTTCATTCTTCATTTGTAACTAAATATATAATATGGAATCATATATATAAAAAACTTAAAATCTAATTATAAGCCTCCTCCTTGTTTGAAGACGGCTAAAAATTAACTCGCGCGATACACTTGTGAATTGTGAAAGTCTAGCGTGCAACTAACCGATTGTTTATATTTTCAGTTTTATAACGTTTCGCTCTTGCAAGCAACTAGATGGCAAACACACAATATTTGGAAAAGTCGTTGGTGGCCTGGACACATTGAATGCGATTGAACAGATAGAAGTGGATAACAAAGACAGACCTATTGAAGATATTGTAATCGAAGTCGCTCAAGTATTTGTGGACCCTTTTGCAGAGGCCGAAGAACAAGTGAGTACTTGTAACCAATAAATAGATCCGAATGTGGAGTGTTAAAATTGTTCAATAAGTCAATATCTCACTAGTAACAGACCTGTCTCACTCGCGCTTTAGGCATGGAAATATACCTACGCTGCGTGGTACACAAGCGACTAATTCCGTAAGATTGTAACGCACGCGCTCGAGCAGACGCGCGCCTTACGTTAACAAAAAAATATTTTTCTCTTATAAGTATTTAGACACTTGATATTTAGTTTTGAGTCTTTATTCAAGTAAGCCCTCTCAAAAAAGCCAAAAGGTACTGCGTAGCATGCGGGTGCTTAAATAACAATAGGAATGTCGGCTTTTCATTCTTTACTTGCCAACGCCAATGACCTTAAAAAATCTATCAGTGTATACTAGTGATTGCCTACTAATACAAGATCAGCCTATACTGATTATTAATGCCGTCGCGATACGTATGTGAAACACTTAGTAATGAGTTGTTTGTCCTTGTGCAATTTATGTTTGTAAACTGCTTCCACGATACAGGATAAAATCCTAGTGTGGAGGTAACGTTTTTTTGTAATAAAAAAAATAAATAAATAAAAAAATACTAATACATTGCATAACACCTCGGTGTACTCTACTATATACCAACTAATTTCAAAGGATTCAATTTGTTTTTTCACAACACCTAACCCTACAGTAGGGATGGCCTTATTAACCCTTTCATCGCCGCGCTTTAGTTGACGTGGAGTGTCTCCAGCGCCAGGAACTTTTATTTAATATTTTGCATAGTGTTTGAACAACCATTTATCGATAAATGAAATAAAGTTTTAAAAATTATAGATTATTATTTGTTTTAAACAACATAACATTCTTCTTATTGGGTATTAACACTAGCTTAAATCAGTCTTAATTTTCGTTAATCACGTTGTATTTAATCAGCGTTAATTCTCTTCATAAAACTAAAATATACAGTAATCTATGCTTGATCTAATATATGTAGCTCCTTCCGAGCGTTATATATCTTTATTATGTCCATATACACTTGCGATCGAATCTCGTATGGGACTGACTCCATTTCAAATGCAATTAATGTACCAAAATGCTCATTACGAGGATCTTCTGGTTTTTGATTAAAGAATCTTGAAGCGGGCAAACTTATATAAGCTGTGTAGTCATCTTTTTCGGATTTCACATAGCATATGTAATGATTTTCGGTCTGCGTTGATCTACCATTTTTGGAAATTTTTCTTTTTAATTTCTTTTTCGCTCGAATAGATAGGAGAATAGATGGTGGTAATGGCGGCGATTCATCACTTTTTGACATGATGATTCTACTCCATATACTAGAAGATTCTTTATGTTCCTGTAAAAATGTATAAATTAAGCAAATATAAATGTAGTGTAAGTTTCTTAAATACTTGACTAGTTTTACATGAATATTTACTTTCAGATTCAATATCACTGCCTTTAGATGAAACTGTGAATATCATTATGCGATTCTAAAATAGTTAACAATTCTTCTTCGTCTAGCATTATCGATAATTTCCAGCACTAAAAATGCAAATAAGTATAGTACACGCGTGTTATCACGGTGACGGCGTCACAGTAATTGACAATTTATTGAAACGCCACTGTCCTTGACATTAGCCGCACGTGAAATCACGGTGCTGGCTATATGTTTCATGATGCTGGCTTTCTCAACTCGAATGCACTAGTGACGTACCGGGATAATTCAATTTTACATTTGGGTTGTTTGGTTCATAAATTAATATTTTTATTTCTTGTCGCAAAAATCATTTAAATAATATATGAAATAAAATTTTTATGAATGTTTAGTTCAGTTCAGTCAAATATTACATTATGATGACTTGACTATCATTTTAATTTTGAAACAATACAAATATAAATTGTTTCAAATATCTTTTACAGTGGCGCAGCACTGGTCTCAGAAATATCACGGGGATGGCGAGGCAGCAAGGTGTTAAATTTCATCTTGCACTTAGTAACACTATATATTTCTGTTAATTTTTTGACATTGGTATCTACAACTGTCCACAATTAATTAAATGTATTAAATTTAATAGCAAAATCGAATTAACCTTGTAGTTTTTCTAGTAACATGAACATTGTATGTGTATTGTATTTATTATCATTATATTATAATTTTGTATTTTGCACCCATCACTAGATTCTCTGCACAAACTAAAGGTAGACTGGTAGAGAATGCCTTTAGGCATTAAGTCCGCCGTTTTGTACATTTCTTGTATGTGTGCAAATAAAGCTTAAATAAATAAATAAATAAAATTTCGGAATATTACGTGACGGCGCTGACGGTATTCACCTTAAGATTCGTAATATTACCGCTATGGCGGTGAAAGGGTTAACAAAGGTGCGAAATGGACTAAGTGATACAGACACTCGAACGCGCGGACGTAAGGTGCAATTTGACTTAATACGCGCACCGTATTAATTTTTGTTTCGACGTAGGCTAATTTCACGATGGTCGATTCCGAGGCGTGCAACGTATTATGAACATTAGCAACGTTGTAACTAGGTTTAAACTCGCAAGTTTGCTATCAGAGAGTGATCCTTCTGTTCTTGTACTAATATGCATACTCATGAAGCTACATTTTATTAATTCAATCTTTGTCACAGCATGTTTCAAGGCACACAGTTCTGAACAATATGTTCGGAACAGAAAGCTGACCGAAAATATATTTAGGTAATTATGATATTTAGATGGCTGCGTACGAGAATCATCTCATTTCGTTCCGTTGGTGTCGTAAAAGTTGACTATATAAAATGCCAGTAAGATGTTATGGCCTCCGAAAGATGGCGGTATTACCATCCACCACCGTTTACGCCAGATCTAAAATAACAAAACAACAAAAGTGCGAGATCTCTGAACTGCAATCGAGGATTCCTCGAGGATCTCCTGCCAAATGTTACGATTAAAGCAAATTCGTTTTACGTGGTAGAGCCATGCATGGTGTAGATTTCAATGGGCACAGAATTCACTTACCATCAGGTGTACTGTGTGCTCGTTTATCACCCTTTCCTATAAAAAAATGCTGAAACGACAGAGGCATATATCTAGCAGTTGATTTTTACCCTAGAACTTGGTAAACGGTGTGCTTTGTCAGGCTTAATAAAATAGAAATGCGTCCATTGCCTTCTGAGATGAGATGAGAATCTAGCGACGTTATCTGAATAAACTGTAAAATTAAAATTATTTTTATTCAGTTGATAGCTGAAAGGGCTGAAGAATTAAAAAGACAAGCAGAAGCTGAAGGGCCAGGAGTGAAACCGAAAAAAGCAGTCCAACAACCACTAAAAGTGTTCAGGGAGGGAGTAGGTAAATACTTGAACTTGCAAGAGGTATCTACTAACACTAAAATTACTTCTAAACCAGACGAGTTACCAGCTAAGAAGCCAAAAAAGGAAGGGAATTATAAGTTTGGCAGTTTTGACGCATGGTAGAATTAATACATGTATAAATATTATAATAAATATAATAAATTTAATATGCGTTTTATTAAAAAAAAAGTGTTACAGTCTACATACTCCTCTTCTCATAACATTTTTATGAGTATTTAAAACCAGGAAGTTCCGCTTCGGTAATAGGTGCTAGCAGACATTTATCTACCAATGTATACTTAGTTATATACATCAGAATTAATTTATCAGCAAAAATATGCTAATCAAAATAATCTGAACTCTAAACTATGTATGAACCTAAATGAAATAGCTTTTTTCGCATCGGCATAATATCCAAACCAGTTTTATTTCTTTATACAAATATATCCTCTTCCTTTAGAAAGACTTTATGCACAAATTATGACGCCGGCAGCCAGTAAAATGTTTAACTTCTTCAGAGCTTCTTTACTACTCGCCAGTTTGATGTAATCAAGTTTCAGAAAGCTTTTGTTGAAAGCAATATTTTATCAAACATAATGCTAATATATATCCATTCTTCCATTACAGCCTATATGAGTCCACTGCTGAACTTATGATAGATTACTTCGTAGGTGGGTAAACATTGCATTAAAGCATTTTTTACTCATGCTTCCAGTATGTTAGTTATTGTTTTGTCATTTATTATTCTCCGTCATAATGTTAATGCTGTTTGGTAACTATACTAATAAACATATCTACAAACCACAACAGGAAAAACTAAGAAAACTCAAGTGCAATGCCAGCTTACATACAAAATCTGATATCAGCTAAAAAAAATTAAGAATGTTTGGTGAGTGAACATATTGGTACATGGTCGGCCTCTAGCTTGCACTAGGCCTCTATGTGTGCTTGCTAGTGAACCTATTAAAAGGATAGCTGTGGTTGAAGCGGGTGAGATATTTAGAGAGAAATGCAACTCGTTGAGAGAAATGTCAAGTAAAGTGTATAAAAATATGTCGGAATCAGACATTATCCAATACATTAACAAGACAAATCAGCCCATAATATCCTTGATTGTCTGATGATATAAATCGCCAGACTGGAAAAACAGGTTGTATTTAAATTAAAATCGGTTTTGATCTTTAAGTATAACTGATCAGCTGACTTTAAAATTGACAAAATTCTATATTTATTATAAAATAATTATATTGTTATAATATAATTTATATTAATGATAATTTCAATTGAATTAACTATTGTTGTTTTTAAATAGAATATATTAAACCATTCACTGCCCTGTGTACAACATTATAATTCATTGCTATTGTCTTACTATTGTGTCTGAAAATCGGACAGCGAGTGTTAAATAAGAAACAATAATAATTAGTAGTTTTCAAATTATAGGTACACAAAAAACGACATAGACATTACATTTAAAAATAAGTAGGTATATATATTATTACATGCATATGATATTATATATATGTTCATATTATATTATATTATAATTACTAAATAAAATGTTATAAGAAATGGCCATCCTATAACAAATTTTTGACTAAATAAAAACAGTTTGATTTGTCTTTCATAATGCATACAGCAAAGGAGTATAATAATTTGCCAGCATGTCTTGCTGTTCAAATACAATCTGGGCATCTTCAAAGCAAGGGTGAATAGACTTTACTAAGACATTTACCAATTAGGGCCTTATACTGGCCTATAAGAAAAAAATGCTTAGGTATATCGTAAAGAAAGAATATTTATTGGTTCTAAGGAGTAATTTATATATTTTCAATTATGCTAAAGGTACACATACTGTTTAACACACATAATTATGACTTAATTACTAAACACAAGTAAAAGGAAACATAAAAATGTTGGATTTCGATCAACACAGATAACAATTCAATTATAATTCTGGCGTCGTCTTCCAGTTCTTTGCTTGTCAAAACGCATTTCCATTTCTTCTAAAACTTTTGGAGTGTAGCGGACAACCAGTTTGACTGACCCAACTGCTTGCTTCAATAGCTCTACAGCTTTTTCGTGATTTTCTCCTTCAACTGACACACCATTTACAGACAATAATTGATCACCTCTCTTTAGTCCTCCATGGCGGTCTGCTACTCCACCGGGGATTATTCGAGATATGTATATGGGTGAATTCTGTTCCTTGCCACCCATGACATTAAAACCTAATCCTTCTTCAGTTTTTGGAAGCTCGACAACTCTGGGATGTGCGTGGCCTTCTGCTGCTGCGAAAGCTGCCACCGTTGCCTTAGCCGTAGCTGATGCTCGTATGTCTGCCGAACCTTGAATGTCGACAGTTTCATAAACATGTTCATATACTTCCCTAACAGCGTTTAAAAAATCACTCTGTAACACTTTCTGCAAAGCTGCCAACTTTGTAGCAGGTACTTCACCACTTTGCTGTAACTTTTCTAGTAATTCTATTGCTCTTTTTATGTCTCTTGCTAAGGTCAACTGTTCACCCGTAGACGTCATGTTGTTGTAATTTCTGAACAATAAAATTATCGAAAGTAGAGAAGGCGTATTTGGTTCGTAATAGAAGAAAACTATTTTGCTGACTGATCGATATCAACAAAACTAGCTGTCAAACATCAAAACGTTCAAAAATTTTTTACTTCTCCATTTTATCATTTTTTTCTTTAACATGTTCGTTTTATTTCTTGTTGACCATTAATAATTTCACTATAATTAATCAATTCTAATCATAATTTTTGTGTTTTACTAAATATTACAATATATTACGTAAAATTATTTTATTTTTTAAATATTACATTCAATTTTGAAGAGATAAGTGCTCTAGAAATTTGACAGCCGGCAGGCTGGTAAACTGACAGCAATCTGACAGTTTCTCAATTTCGCCAATCTAATAATAATTACCTACATAGTTTTTGCTTTGATTTGCGTTTAAATAATTATTTTGTGACTATTTTAGCATTAAAAATATAACGTTGAGTATAGTACAATAACATTGTGCAAAAAAACTAACAGTGAAGGTGGCAGTCACGTGTTTAGCACTTGTTTAAAATTCACAATGGATGACTTGGGTAAGTTTAATTTCAACCTGTTTGACTTGTTTCTAATGAAATGACGTGTTTAGTGAAAACTATTTGTTGCATTCGGTAGAAAGAATCATATTAATAATAATAAGCTTAGTATAGTTACGTTTTTGCCTGTATTAAATGCAGCATTCCTGATTAAGATGATGACTTCATAAGTTGTTATCAACAACAGTTTCGAATTATTTATATATGATTATTTTTATTTCTTATCAGATATTTGCGTAATTTAGAAACTTAAAGACCTACTGCAAATCTGAATTGCATTTTGAGTTAATTAGTTAATTTTATTTAAAGAAATGTTTTAAATATTTTTATTGAATAGAATAAGGGTAGCAAACGAGCACACAATCCATCTGATGGGAATTGGATGCTGTGGCCCATAGACTTTTACATTTATCCCCAATAAGAAACAAAATGCAGATGTGTTGTCACTTCTGAGGATAGATGGAATGCTGCATTTCCAGTAAAAAGGGCTATATCATAAAGGGTTTATCATAATCATATCTTTATTGCTTGTAAACAATTTATTATTTTTATTAATTCCTCAAAAGGATCTCTTTTATTCTTTATAATTTCCCTTCTCCATAACTATTCATATATCAAATCAGTAAATTTTTTAAAAATACTAGAGAAGTACACTAGTCTATGACATGGTCTTACGTCCTTGTCACACTTACACAAAATTCTGTATTCTATCCAGCTTTCACAGTAATAATTCATATGTTTTTCCATGTTTTACATATTTTAAGTTATATTAGTTTTTTTATTTTCTTGAAATCGGTGTATTACTTTTTAATGCGAGTGGTATTGTTATAATGGGGGACCAACCTCTACCAAATAAAACACCTTACACCCCTAAATTCCTGCCAAACGATTCTAAATCTAAGCCTTTCCTTTCTTTATCCTTAAAGCATTTTACCACAAGTAGTACAGCTGACCTAATTGGCCTTGGCAGACTCAGAACATGCTAGATTATCACCAATTAGTTATTAGTCAAATCCCAATACACCAGAAAGTTATTTTTTTGTCCTTTGAAACAATAAGTTAGACTAATTTTACAGGTTATGACAATTGGTTGCAATATAAGCCATCTGGTTCTTTTAAAAAATAGAATAGAACAAATAGAATAATTATTGATTATAAGTTTTACGTTACTGTTACTTTTACTATTAATTTTTCAGGGAGTAAAGTCAATAAATAGTTCAAAAACAATTTGTTGTAGTAAGGTTATACAAGCAAAAGTGTAGTAACCATGAATGTTGAACATTGTTTATACATTTAAGTTGCATAGTTGACACAATCATTCTTAAATTACTACATCATTAAATTCTATTGAGTGAATTTTACTAATGTTTCAAAACTTGTTTGGTTGCCTTTTTAAGGTCAAAGTTTTTTTTTAATGTTTTAAGTCAAATGTTTATTAGCCCAGAAATAACTGTGACACAATTTAGTAGTATTTCCATGCAACTTCTTCTGTAAAACAACATTCAATCAGTCTTGCAGTTATCTTTGTCTATTTTTTCATAGCTCCGTGCAAGCTTTTTATTTGTTTTATGTAGTAGTGGCCTATGATAGTTCCCTTTTCAGATTAATACATCAATATTTTTCTTTAGAATCATAGTCTTTATAGCCAGTTCACATTGGCATTCCTGAGAGTGGTTGTTTTCAATCTATGTTCTGTTTCTCATTAAGTGATGGATCCAAGTCTCATCCAATCCAAAATAAAAGGTCAATTAGCAGAGGTAAACATTATTGGGTCAGCCTAATAAGCTTTTGAGACTTGTAACGAAAATATCAATCAACGTCTTCTTTTGCTTGTATTTGCATACATTTGCAGCCCCATCAGTGCTTGATGCTCCTACTTGGAAGAAGGCAAGTTTTCCTCAATTGCTCAAAGAAAAGCATATTTCAAGGGACACTTTCCTACCTCTCCTTCATCTCTTATTAGCACAGGGAACTCCATTCATCAAGGAGAGTGAGGACCGTAATGCGAAACCAATGGGTCAGGAAAGTGGCCATTCTAAAGCACCAACCCTTCCTGCTCCAGTAAGGATGTTGTCTTTGGCTCTATTGCCAATATTCCTGATACACACATCAATTTTTTTCCTTGATAGCAGGCCTTCATTTTGCTCCATTTTCGCATTATCTGCAACTGTTCATTTCTAAATGAGTAAGGTTGGATAAGTTATAATTATGACATATTTACATTATTTTTATCAATACATTTGTGACTTCTACATTTTCTAAGATATACATATAACCACTAACTAAACTAAATAAACACAATAATCACTTGCTGTACAGTGTACACGCATTATTGCTTGTGTGGAATTAGGTTTGTGACAAAAGGAGGTAGTCGGCAATCGAAGAATTGGATAGGAGCATGTATCCAAACCCGGCCATCATGTCACTGAAGCTACGTTTTGCATTTGTGCATTATTAATTTAAAAAATCTAAGTATCAATTTTCAATTTTCTATATTCAATTACTTATCTTCAAAAACTAAAAACATCTTAGGAATGGAATTTCTAAAATCCCTATAAAATCATATTTTGTTATTTCTTTTCAGAAACCTTTATACCAATTGTTTACATGTCCAACTTCAAAAATGAAGGACTTGCATAGGTACAAACTGATTTCCAAAAAGTGCTTTGTAAAGCCAATCTTAAAAAATATTTTGACTTTTAAAATCTTCATACTTATTTTATGAATTTAAAGTAGTCTTGGTCCTTTCCAAAGTTTCAAGCTTTAGTAACCTCCTTCGATTGAGCTCATTAAAAAAATATCTGAAAAACGGTTGACCCTGCAGGCCATCCTGGAACTTCCCACTATGTTCAATCTCAAAACGCTCGACAAATATTCCATCACAAAGTTGTGAGCTTGAAACTTTGTGATGAAATATTTTTCGAGCGTTTTGAGATATATATTGTACTAGCTGGCCAGGCAGACGTTGTTCTGCCCTTTCCGACGACCCTTCCTATAAAAAACCTTAAATTTGCAATAAAAAATTTGAGGATCATTTAGCAGGACACAAACTATCCTATCTCTCAAGTTGGACCAAAATGCACAGTGTGCAAAATTTCATTGAAATCAGTTCAGTACTTTAGGAGTCCATCGCGGACAAACAACGTGACATGTAATTTTTATATATAAAGATTGTGTATTATTATTAGAAATAACTTTTTTCGAAATTTTTTTGTCATGGATTTCTCTTCAACACATCATACCAAATGCCAATTTTGTAGCGGTTTACAACAATCGACGTTGTTTTTTGTGTTTAAGAGCTGATTAGATTTTGGAATTGATCGTTACAGCTGTTTAAAAGTTATTCTAAAAAAACATTTTTTGAAAAATTTTATTTTTGAGGTATCCCAAAATCTGAACTGATCCAAATCAGTCCAAACAGTATTGGAGATCTAAGTTTGGTGACACCTTTTTAAACGCCGCCCAAATCGTTCGAATCGATCAAGTTGTTTAAAAGTTATGAGGCTTGCACACACACACACACACACACACACACACACACACACACACACACACACACACACACACACACACACACACGCACACGCACACGCACACGCACACGCACACGCACACGCACACGCACACGCACACGCACACGCACACGCACACGCACGCACACGCACGCACGCACGCACGCACGCACGCACGCACGCACGCACGCACACTCACACTCACACTCACACACACTCTCACACTCACACTCTCACACTCACACTCACACACTCACACACACACACACACACACACACACACACACACACACACACTCACGCACCCACACGCACCCACACACACGCACCCACACACATGCACACACACCACACACACGTACACATACATACATACATAGTGACATCCACATAGGAATAGTTAAAACTGCTTCCTAGGACTTAAAAACGTCGAGATCTGATGAAACCTCGATTTTCGAAAACTGAGATGAATCCAATAATTTCCCAATTTTTTTGAAAATTTTTGATTTTCATAGCGGGAAGTTAATAAAAACACTTAAATCCATATATTAAAAATCAAACCACTACAGCTATTGTACTAATTACTTTGCTACTTGATTCTATATGTTATAATGTGTAGGTGGAACAGGACCTTAAAAGATTAATCTGATAGTAATAGCGATCTGTCTACTTTGTGGAATTAAATGCCTCGTAGTTGTAGCGCCAAATAGGCGCTGGAGTGGCAGGATGCTTAATGACGTTCATAGCGTCCTTCCCGCCTTGCAATCTCTTAAAATAGGTTATTGCCAAGGACATCAAGCGTAGTCGTAGAATTATAGATTATATATAACTTCGTTGTTTTGTTTGTTGTCTAATCTGATTTCACTCCAGACATTTTTTTAAAGAAAGTACCCAATCTATGATGTACATTTAATATATG